CAGAGAAATATGTCATTTCGGTCGGTAAAAAGGTCTAAAAAAATGCATTTTATGGCTGTAAAAAAAAGTTGAAAAAACATTCTGGTTTTAGGATTTATTCATATTTTAAAGACAATGCTTTTACAGCGGTGGAAGGGATACAAAGTTCTAAACTAAGTATGCGAAAGGGGTGCCATATGTCAATGGAAGGTATACTTGCGAAAGAGGTCCCTTCTCTGTCAAAAAATGATATCAAAGACCGGGGAAGGGTTTGACCTCGGAGACGGAGCCTCCCCGTATAAAACTTTGTCGAGTACCCCCCTTTGGTATTAATGGCACCTTTTTCACATTTGTTTGTTTGTAAATAAATTCTTTATCTATCGACTTCACAAATCTTAAAGATTTTAAGTTGTATATAACTTGGGAGTGCTTTAGTGCACAGCCGCTAATTGTGATCCTCGCCGGCATTGTTTAAAATTCAGAACCGCAAATCCTTACAAATCTTCAGGAAATCTAGACTGACCTGTTCTTAACGACTTTAGCAGTGGCCTCGCGAATCAAATCTGGAAACGTCTCGCGAACTTTGAACCTTAAAATCAATGCAAGGAACTATAAAGAAGCAGTGGTTTAATAGTCACAATACTCATGCACATAAACCCTCAATATCGACTCCTTAACATAAATCAGCAAAATGTTTTCTTTGTTATTATATATTTAGCTTTTTTTGTTTTGTGGCGTTATTCTCGCGTAATTTATTTATAGTTTTGTCCTATTCAGTTTAAATTTCTCTTTCTTTGTTACTGAACTAAATAAAATAAGGACATTAACCTGCTAACCTGAATTCTGACACGTCCCCGAAGAGTTTGCGCTTCAGGTTCAAGAAATCAATTTTCTTTTAAGCTTTTCTTCTTGTTTTTGTTTTTTTTTCTTGTCGTTGTTGTTTTTTGTTTTTGTTTTGAAAAGGATATCGATAACAATTTTAGCAATGAAGAATGCAGTATTTGTACGGAAAGCCAATACTCTACAATGGAAAATTTCCCAAAATATATAATCGCGTGGATATGAAGAGCTCTTGTTTAACATCACGGGCTTCGTCGCACTGGACTAAAGGAAAACAAAAAACAGCAAATGTAATCGAAGACAGTCTTGGATTCTGGATTCCACACCGTGGAATCCAGATTTTTTTTGTCGGTAGAATTTGGATCGCGGACTATAGTGGAATTATAGCGTAATTAAGCTGCATTCTAGAATCCAAAGTCCAGGATTCCAGGATTCCACTACAAAAATTTGCTGGATTTCTGATTCCACAAGCAAACAATTTACCTAATTCTGGGATGCGCATTCCCTCAGATGGGGCACATGCGGCCTATTAGCTAAATTGTCATTTCTAATTAAAAAGACTAAACCGTCGGTGATTATTTCAACTCGTCAGAAGGGATCAATGCGAAACGACAATAACATCCTTACCTTTTTAAAAAAAAGTTCTTGGGAACTTGATCAGCAAAGTGGTCAGATATAACAGTACTCTGCTCGCGAAAATCGCGGCAATTGAATTTGCTTATTTAGAATTGGAAAAATTTGCTTGTTTCCCCACTTAACATTCATACGACCTTGCTAGGCATATTTGACCTATCTAGATACTTAAGAAAAACAAAACCTTGTAATAGTTCCAATAACTCTCTCCTTCCGGTGCGCGTCGTATTAATTCATCGAGAGAAGATTAAGCGGCTTCTGGCAATAATCATTTGTAAGTGGTACAAAAAAAAACCGCGCACAACAGGTTTCGGACTAATAACAAAGATAACTTCCAGAGAGAGGGCCGGGAGATAAGGGGTTCTTACCATTTACACAAACCGCCCGGTTGGCGCGAAAACTTGTACGTGACATAAAACTATATCCTGGAACTATAAAATATATAAAATTTGACGTGTTGGGAGAACAATGAACAGAGAACAAGGTGTATCTAAATCAGCTGAAAAGACTAAAAAGAGTGGAAAAATTGCCTCGCCTAAAATCACAGCAAATATTTTCTTATGCTTCCCCCCCGGAACCATTTGATTTTCCAAGCGAAATTGCTGGTTTGCCCATGTAAATGGGCAAACAAAACAGTTTTACATGGAAGAGGATAGTTCAGATGGGGACGCCAGTTCTCTACCTCCTGGTCACTTTTTGTTTCGTATCAGTTCGATTCTGAGAAGCGAAGTAAGAGTAGCTCTCTCTTTTTCTCTCTTGATGCGAAGTTCGGAAAAATGCATGCCCCCAAAATATTATCGAATTGAGCTGAAAGATACTGGAAATTGTGTACATATTTCTAATATTAAAGATACCTCTATACAGTATATCCAATAGAATGATATGACCCATAAATATCCGATATGGCAGCTCGGTTTTCTGTAGAAGGAATTCACTTTTCACTGGCTTATTCGGATTATGTCGATCGTGAGCTTGTAGATACAACGGAGGTTATTTTTGTTAGTGCTGACACCGATCCCCCCAAAACCGATTATCACAGGCGATTAAAAATCTAGCATTTCCTTTGTCCTGTGCGTAATATTACGCCTCCTACTGAAAAGCCGTCACGTACGGTGTAAGGCCTGGTGTGACATCAAAGCACAGAGAAGAGGGAAAGGTTTTACTTCCGGTTGATTTCCGTAAAATGGGATAAGCTCGTGTCATGCTAAGATATTATAGGATTACAAGTTTAAGTTAAGAAGGTGATGAGATAATTATCATTAACTAGGAGCGATCAGTTTTTTTCTTTTTCGGCTGCCTTGGCTGCATAGCAACCTTAATGAAACATTTTACTTCCGGTTGATTTCTGCAAAATGGGGTCTAGATAGTGGGCGTTTAGATAGTGGGGAGCAAGTTAAAGTTTCCCGCCCTGTTTTTTCCCTCGTCAATTTTTCGCCAGCGCCCTAATTTTTCGCCTGCCGGCCCACCATCTGAAACCATCTGAACGCCTGGAACAGGCTAGGTGAGGTTGTGTCAGGCTTTTATTAGTGATTTCACGCAACAGGACGGCAGAAAGAGGAGGACGGCAAAACGCTTGTGTTTAACAAACGTAACAGGACTGCCCTAATTTTTCCCTGGATGGGGAGGTGCGGCGGGCCCACCATCCCTGTTTAAACCAAATATCGAACGCCTGTTTAAACAGGCTCCTGTTTCAGACAAAAATTGATAAATCGATTTTTAAGACAAAAATGATTTTTCGCAACCCTGGACGGCAAAAAGAGGAAAACATACCCCGGCAAAACGTCCCCATTAAGTTTAACAAACGTAACAGGACTTTTACTTGTTCTTCACTAAATATGAATGTGTTTTTGTCTTTTACAAAAAAATCTGTTTCAAGGAAGATGTAAGATTTCGGGAGAGAAGCGACGACCGGAAATACGTCTGCCGTTCGCAGGCTATTAAAGGAAGATGAAGTTTCAGGCAAATTTTTTTAAAACAAAATTATTGTCACGCTTGTCACACAAGGTTTGCCGTCTTCTTTGCTCTCCTGGCCTGTTGCGTAAGTTCACTATTATTGGATTACGAGTTTAAAGTTAACAAGGTGACGCGATAATCAACCTCGTTCCCAGGGTTCTCTCCTTCTAGCCTCCCCAGCACACGTTCTTTTGGCAACTCTCCTACCCGCTCCTTAGTAGCTTGCGTAGCTGGCGGTATTGTGCACTAGTCGAGTGAGATTTGGTGGCGGAGCCGCCACGAGAGGAGAAGCCGCGAGAAATACGCCTCGTCCCCACTCCCTTTTTTGGATCGCGGCTCCACCGCCAAAACTCAGTAATCGCGCCGACTCGCCAGCTACGCAGGCTAGCTCTTTAGGGACGAATAGGAGAGACGACTGGGAGCGCGGTTGATGAGATAATTATCGTTTACAGTTTTTTCTTTCTTGGGTGCATGGCAACCTTACGAGAACAAAATGTATGGTAAACTTGAATGAATCAGTCGAGTGAAAAAAATTTCTCGTTGTTTCTGATGTGACCGCCATTCCGATGTGTGTAGTCAGGCTCCTGGTAAGCAATTTCAAATTGTTAACCGGACAAGAAAAACCGGCCGGAAAAAAGTAGGATCTAAGCAGGATTGTTTTGTTAAGTGACGGCTGGAGCTTCGGCTGTGTATTCAAGTGCAATGAAAGGTTTACGAGCGGGAAGCGGTGTCCATCTATATGGGAGTCCCCCTGGAATCACAAGTCAACAAGATTTGGGGCTCCCACGGCCACAGAATTTTTATTTCCACTCTGGTAACCAAGTCCAGAAACCGTAGACACGATAACCAGCCGTTCGTAGTTTGGGAGCAAAAGGAGGGCAAACAGGAGTCCGCTATCAAACCATGTCACTGAACAGCTGGAAATCGAAACCGCAAAGAGGCACAATCAGTTCGCACTCGAAACTTTGTAGCCGATCAACCAACGAACGTGTTCCAGCCTCCCCCTTAATTCCCTGAGCTCCGTAGTACACTGTCATAATTCTAATAGCTTGGAATGGTAATGAAACTAAAGTGGAATAGGTACAAACTACGTTAATAGGCCGGTTCTACTTAATTTCGAACCCTGTTCGCTCGAACCGTCGGTGTTCGAACACATTACTTATGTTTTATTTAAAAAAAACAAACAAACAAACAAACAAACAAATAAAAAAATGGGGGGGAGATTATTAGAGTTAGAGTGGCTAAGTACATTTCCACTATATAGTGTAAACGCACATTTAAATTTTAACCTGGGTTTTCTGTTTTTTGTGTGATATTTTTCTCCATTCTTTTTGGAGCAACGAATCATCAAATCGTACTCAAAAAAAATAAAATAAAATAAACTCGATTCACTTTAAAGCTTTCTTGTTTGATTTCAAATTTCACACTAACCCGGGATTATCCTTAACCCAGGTTTGAACAACCTAGCCCAGGGCTTAGTCTGGGCTTCCTGTGCTTTAGGAATTGACCGCGAACAAGAAGACTGGTGCCAAAAGCAATGCAAATTTTGCGCGCAAATATGGCGCCGTTTTTGAAGCAGTGGTAATGTCCTTTGTCCTGGTTTATTCGGCTTTCAATGATGAAGAATAGTTCACTTTCAGTTAATTAGAGCAATGGTAAGCTTCGCAAAAGCTTCCTGCTTTTCGTTTACCTTCTAGCGGTTCTTTAATTTCCGAAATCGACTTCTAGTACCTTAATTTGTTGTGCTTTCTTGAGACGCTTCAAGTGTAAATTCACGTCAAAAATGACTGTTGTTGTTTCAATTGTAGAGGAGATCTCTTGCTCCGAGCCAACTTCTCAAAAGAAAGCAAGGCTTCGAGGAAGAAGAACAGACTCAGCACAAACGGAAACAGGTGAAAATGTGCCGTACTTTATTTGAAAAGCTTACTTAATAAATAAGCTTGAATGATAATGAAAATTATGTACAAAATTGATTTGCGAAGTCAGTGAAAGTGGTACAGCTGAAACGTGCCAACAACTCGTGCTATATGCTGCGGGGCATGCTTTAGGTTAATATAATCGTTTCATACAAGACGAAATTTTTGTCCTTCTTGTTCTACCGGGAGCCATTTACCAAAAAAATCTGGAAATTTTGATTGCAATGTCCTTCATGTGTGAGGAACGTGTTCCATTTGACATAAGTCAGAGTTTTTACGAAAATGACAACAGTGGAGCCTGAGGTAACAGCCGACATTTTGTGACGCCACCTCTGGTTTCCTGTAAAATGACGTCTGAGAAACGAGCGCAGAAATTTGATACTGAGGTCCAGATCGGGGTAGTGCTTCTGATTCCCATGCAGCATGATTAATCAGAAGCACCACCTAGATCTGGTGGTGACGTGCATCAGTTTGGAATTCCTGCACTTGTTTATTAGATGCCATTTTCCGGGAAACTGGTGTTAGGGTTGCCAAATGTTATCTGCTTTCTTAAGCTACATGCAAATGGATCAAACAACTCGCAACAATGACCAGCTTCAAACTTTTGCGCAACAACAGGCAACAGGCCAGGGTGTGCAACTTAACAAACCCAACATATAACATCCAACAATGTTGTGTCCATTTGCACGTACACTGTAGCTTTACATTTGTAGGCTAACAGCAGTGCAGAGCCTGGAACTGGTGAGTCCTTGAGAAAAAATGGAACATGCATCTCTATCAGAAAACTTTCCAATGGGAAAAGAGTATCACTTTTAAATTCTGCTTACATGTATTTCTGAAATTTTCTTAACAGAAAACCTGTTGTTCCATTTACAGCAACTGAAATTTCGGGAATTTTGTGGTAAATGGAAAATACCACTTACTCCTGTGTCATTTCCAAAAAGCATGCCTTTACAGCGTGCAAAGAAAGTCGTGTCTGATAGCCGGGGCTAGTGGATTTTGCTATTGGGACTAGTGATTTTTGTTCTTAACTTGCCCGACGGCTAACTGCTGTTTTTTGGAGAAATTCAAATTACAGAAGGACTAATCAATCCTGGTAATCAAAAAGGGTTTGGGGGCTAGCTACAGCTTGCCCAAATGGCAGGCTGTGAAACTGACTTTCTTTGCACCCCTCTTTATTGTTCATGCAAAGTAATTCCTTATTTCCCTCTCTCTGATTGCCTGTTATCCCTCAGCTAATTCTTCATAGTCAGCTGGGGTTGACCAAATTCAGATTTAGAGTACACCACTCAAAATTAAGTTCTGAGTCACTTGAAAGTCTTGATCGTCGAGACTCTATTCTTAAAACTTTTGAGAATCAAGTCTCTAATATTGAGGATCAAGTTTTGAGTTTTAAAACCAAAGTTTCAAGTCAAGAAATGATTTATAATGAGCTAGACTAATCTCTCAATTAACAAATTTGGAAAACAGAGCTTACAGTGTAGATTATATACCATCATTAACATTTGTCCTTCAGACATCAGTGATTGTATAAAGTCATTGCAAATTATTCATGGCTAAACACATTTAGAATTTAGTGTTTAGCTCGTAATGGTGAAAAGAGATTGAAAAGAGATTGAATATACCTGTACTGGTACTGGTATGTTTTACACGTTTTTACCAATTTTCACCCAGATGTTTAGAAGTGATATTTGTCAAAGTTTTGCATACAAGATATCTGCCTAGCCCTGGTCAAGGTGATGAAAAATGCATAAGAAGTGTTGTTGGGAAAAAAATAATAAATAATAAAAATAATATTATAAAATTTAAGGTGTATTTACAAGTGCTCTATTATTCAGCTTGGCATGGAAGTTCATGTTTTTTCCTTGTCTAAGAGCACACCTGTGTAGAACATAATTATGTACTCTTGAATAAGGAAGAATTTACACCTTTATAATAATACTGTATGTTTCTTGTGGTTTGATTTTGGTTCAGAAGCTCAAATGTGATCCAGCTGAGGATGTGCTTGACAGACCAGTTTTGGCTCCACTACCTACACAAGACAACTGTGGCTCATTAAACCTCTCAGCCCATGTAAATAAATATGTGCATATTATTCATTTCTTTACGTATTCTGCATTTAAAATAGGCTGAGAAAACAGCTTGCATTTTGCAACACCACAACTGGTTTCCCCCACAAACTGATGGGTGGGAAAAGAGCGCAGAAATTCCATACCAATGACGAGTCACTACCCAGATCTGGCTAGTGCTTCTGATTGGATGAAGCAAATTAATTTAACCAATCAGAAGCAGTACCCAGATCTGGGTAGTGATGCATCATCAGTTCTGGAGTCTCTCAGACAGCATTTCACGGGAAACCAGTAGTGGTATTGGGAAATGCTGGCTGTTTTCTCGGGCTACATTTGATACCGTCTGTCATCTTCCATTCCAGTGGCTCTTATTAGATTTGCAAATTTTTTTAATAATCCATTGTGAAATCGCTGGTGATCCCTGCAATCTGATTGGCTCTCAGCGCTGTGATTTATTCCCGAATCACACTATTTTTTGTTCTAAGTCACCTCTGTTCTAAATCACGTCATTCATTTTCTACGTATAAACTGACGTCATGTCTGATTAAATCGCACCTTTTCGCTCTATATTGCATCATTTCTGTTTTGGGTACAAAAATTTTGAGGTGTGAAAGCCTTTTTGTTTCTGCTTTTAGGTGAGAAAGCCTCTTTGTTTCTACTGGGTCAAATAAATATTGATACTGACTGAATTCTATGATTTCAAAATGGCTGTAATAAAGTGGTATTTGAACTTTGTGTTGTGCAATTTTGGTCTGAAATCATACTTGTGATTTCAAATTGAACTTCAGATCAGATTGCACTCCACTCAGTTCAATTACCAGTATGTATGTACACTGTAGGCAGTATTTTCGTGATATCACTGATCATGGTGATGCAAAGTCTGTCTCTTACTTTTTACACAATTGCAAAGGTAAAAGTATTTTTTTGAGGGTACAATTAATAACATCTGCAACGTTAATACTTAACAATAACTTATACTGCTACCGTATGTATTTCGTTTTTTTTCAATAATTTTGAAGCTGGAATTCATAAGATGTCTGAGAGTGTAAGCATAAAATGGTGTGAAAATTTTAGAAATGTTAAAAAAAAAATCTTGCAGAAAAAAATAATGATGTGAATTGTTTTGTTTTTTACAACAGGAAGCACTTATTCGCAAGATTCTTGCCAAGCCCTTCAAAGTTCCATTGCCAAACTATCAAGGCAAGTCGTAATTACTCTTATAATATTATACGTTCTACTTACTATCTGTTTACTCATTGGCTAAGAGCCTACAGCTAATTTTGGAAATCAGCGCAACCTACAGATTACTTTATTAATTATAGTTATCTGCCAGCAGAAAACTGACTAATCTGTAGGTTGTGCACGTAATGCATGATTTCCAATAACAACCTTGTGACAGTGTGTTTGTCTTTAAGGCCTTGGTAAGTGTTATCAGCCTCTGTCTTTGGCTTAGCTGATAACACTTACCTCGACCTTGATTATTCCAGGTATCACAAAAACCTCATCCAATAATTGTTGAATATTTTCTTTATACTTCACTTCAGTTTCTGAGTTTTTGAGTGGGGCTTTTTTGTGCTTATTGTACTTCCTGAAATTATGATTCCCTGATCCTGGAATCTCAGGATGATGATGATGATGTGGTGATGATGATAAATAATATTAATAATGATAGTAATAGATGAATAAATAATAATAACAATATGAGCTTCTTACTGAACTCTTTAATTCTTAGAAGTGACCAAAGTCAAGGAGAGACAAAAATTCAGAATTATATTTTGTAAACGTGACCAGGCACCGGATTTCATACACTAAGTCTTTACCATTAAACAGGTAATAATAGGCGGATTGTAAACAGATAGTGAATGGGCAATTTAAACGGTTTGCATAAGTGTTAAATGACAGACCAAAGTTCCAAAACAGATTGTGCAATTTCCATTAAATGGATGAGAAAAAATGATTAAACAAATAAGAAGAAAGAAACGCCAACAGTCCAGTCAATAATCAGCCAGTAATTTTGCTACTTCCAGTGGAATATTTACTGCCAACTCCACACTTAAGTTTATAAACTTTAATAATAATAAAAATTAGTACTTAATAAAAATAAAGAATAATAATATTGTTCAATGAATGAAAACTTATTAAATAATAGTCAATTTTGTTTGTTAAAATATTAGTATTGGTAATCCAGTGTACTGGCCATAGCTTCCATACATTTTAAACACTAATGAGTCACTTTACATTTATGTTTACATCGATTATATTATCACCCTCAAGATCATCAATCCTCCTCGTCAATGATATGTGGATCTTTGCATTCCTCTTGCATCCCACGTACTACAGTTGACTCCTGTTAACTCGAAGTAATTTTCAATTCCCTTCAGATGATCATTTTCTATATAATTTTACCCTTGATAACTCGAACTCCCAATAACTTGAACTTTTTTCTATTTCCCTTGAAGGTTCAAATTATCGGGAGTCGACTGTATTTAAGAAAGTGAAGGGAAGGGGAGGGAGAGGCATTTTTACCTAGAGGGTGCTGCTTATTGGGGGCAAGGATGCTTTTTAAATATGAGCACTTATCAAACTTGTATGGTACACTTGTATAACCAAAAAGAACACCCTACACTTACATGTACGGAGCTGTTTAATTTCCTGTCTACTAAATTATTGCAACATGAAATCTAAGTGACAGCAGTCTGGCCCTGATACAATGTATTTCACTGTTGTTTAGGATGCACCTATTCAAGAGGTCTTGGAATAAAGAGAAAAGGTCCTCGTAGAGCTCTTCATGATCCTTACGAAGAAAATGCATTGGTTCTTTACTCCCCTCCTGAACTTACTGCTCATGAAAAGCTCACAGCTGCTTTGTAAGTACTATGTCCAAACAATATTAAACTTATGAATGCTTATTCTCGACCTTGGAATTAAAAAATTGAAAAATAAATTCTTGTCTCAAAAGTTCTCAGCTACATGTAGCTACTAGTTCCTGAAGGGTCTCAAAAAGGTATGTTGCAGTTATTTTTTTTTTTATTTCAGTTAATTTTTGTTTTTCCTTTGTTTTAAATTCATCAGCATACATTACCATACCCAAAAACTGTGCATGTGTGGAAAAATAAAAATTAACTGAAATGAAAAATTAACTACAACAGGTACAATTATACTAAAAAATCTGAAACCTTTTTAGACCAGAATCTATTTTTCAAATGTTAAACTTTTGTTGAAAAGTTAATGGCAAAGTGTATTTGCTATTTTTGTATAGATGTAGTCTACACTGTACTTTTTTTGCGTTAAGTAAGTTTGGCATTCAGTCATCTGACATTATGACAAAAGTAGAATAGGCAGGTCTTTAGTGCGATACATTTAATACATACATAATATCTAGACTTGTAAGTTAGAATTAGTAGGATTTAGAAGTAGAACTGTGAAACAGGCAACAGATTTAGGGAAAAAATCTACTTGGCAGTATGGCTGTTGTTTTGTTAGAATGGCTGCGTGAGCAACATTTTGACAATTTTGGATTAAACTCTGTTCGTTAGAAATAATTTACTAATTTGTTCCTCTTTTATTCTGATCATGACTGTGCATTCGTCATAAAGAGAGAGCCAAGAAGTTCACGGTAAGATACAAACATTTCATAAAGTCACTGTTGTTTTGTTAGTCATTTTGAGCACTCTTAATCAATGGGTCACAACCAGATTTTAGAGGTGTATGCTTACATTTTATGTAACATACATGTATGGCAGTGAATTTTTTACAGCTAAAAACAATATTTAACCCAATTCGCTCCTGGAGATTTTGCCAAAAAATGCGTTTTGAAGCTAGTCGAGTGGTTTTCTGGTCAGTGTCGTGCTATAAAGGGCTAAAACTTACCACAAGCCGGTTTACAGGTCGTACACTTGGCGGCCTTCTGATCCAGATGCAAAACATCAGCTTGCGAAGTTCGGGCATGTGCAGAAAGCCAAATTTCGAGATAGTTTTTGGGTTTAAAAGTGACACAGCAGTCTTGACTTTTACTTTTCGCTTTCTCTCCTCCCTTCTTTTTTCGTTTTTCTTGCCTTATTTTTTTTTTCTCTTGCTGGGCATTTAGTAGGCTTCATTTTGGTGGGAAGAGTTTTTAGGAAAGCTTTTAGGATCTTAGGATTAGGTAAAAGGAAAGGTAGGTGGGCAATGGAACAAGATTTTCATGGAGATTTTCAGGTCAATGTTACATGGTTTTTTGCTTCTTTCTCCGGTGTCCTTGACTGAATTGTGCTCATTCTGGTATGGTTTGAAAGATCTCTTCACTCTACACAAGTTAGCGAAGAAAGTTGTCCTTGACCGTTAAAACTGATGACGTCACAAAGGGTAGAAAGGACCTGGATCTGCACGGGCGGTTACGGGCGGTTCAGGGGTGAATGGGTTAAACTAATTGTGCTCAAAACATTTAGTTTTGTAAACAACCATTAATTTTTTGGGCATACACTGTACATTGTGGTTTTAATAAGATTATCATAACTTCTTGTTTTTTTTATGTTTCTTTTTTAACAGTTGTTGTTGATCCTGTACTTGGTAAAATTCTTCGCCCTCACCAGAGAGAGGTAATTATATAAGTGTTAATGTTTTCCATCTTTGTTGTACCTGTAACTTTTCTAAAAGTTGTTTTAAGAATATCAGGGCTCTCATTACTTTTTGAAACCATTCATGGCACAGCTGTAGCAAATGAAAATTCACCTATAACATTTTACAAAAAATTATAGCATCCTACCTTTATCCTTCCCCTTTGGCCACCCATAACATCAAGTAGGCTCAGACATATAAAAAATAACAGTCCTGTTGTTATGGGTTATGGGCCTTAATGACAGCTCTAACTATGACCAATAGCACCTGAGTAGTACGGTGTATTTATTTTTATTAAAAACTGAATCATTGGATAATCCAATTCTATCTAGCTCTTATTGGCTTAGCCATCATGGTATATGAGCCATTATACTGTTTTGCTCTCCAAATATGGTAACTGTACACATCTGCTCAAAATTAAAAACAAGCTGAAAATCAGTTGTTTTTATAAGTCGGGAAGAATTTTTGATATTTTGTTTAAATACCTTTTTTTAATAAAACAGTATTATTATTCCATTCGTGCTTGTTGGATATGAGATGGTTATAGCCAACTTGGTGCTACGAGCCTCGTTGGGTATCTACCATCTCATATCCAACGCGGACTCATGAATTAAATAAATACAATTTGGTGGACATTATGCATGCTATGATTGGTCATTGCCCATGATCTATTTATAGTCAGTACATGCAGACACATGGATGATGTCACGGTAGAATCAGTTTCTTTCTTTCGTCCAATATGGCGCATTTTTTATTGGTTTTGAAAATCTGAAGTGCAAGTGAAGGCCTTGAGAAATGTTTAGCATGGGTTGTTTTGCAAGTAAACAGAAACCGAGAAACCAAGACCGAAAGAGATTTTGGCGTTTAGAATTGTCTAAACTAAAAAAAAATTCACAAAAGTTGGCATCTTGTGTCATGCACTTTTGAAAAGTGTTTTTGCAATTATTCTGCTTTAACCCTTTAAGTCCCAATATACAAACACAAATTCTCCAAACTGGTGTCCATACATTTCCTTAAAGAATGAGTTAAGAGAATTTGATAAAAGATCAAGGTGTTTTCTCTTTGGTGATCATATTATTAATTCTCATAACCTAATGTCTTAACAATGCATGGATATTGTTAGGAGAATATTGATGTTGGTCACCATTGGGACTTAAAGGGTTAAGCAAGGGAAGCCCTTTAAACACTTTGGAAAGAAACTGTATCTAATAAGATAAAGAAAAGAAAAAAAAAAAGAGATGAAAAAAATTATTGTTATTTTGTGGCTTGGAAATGCCTAAACTGGCACAAATCCTCGAACAGCCAAACAACACGCAGCAGGTTTGTCTTTTATTTGTCTTTACTGTGAATATTTGTATAAAGCAAAAAGATTCCATTTTGCCCTTGTGGGTCTGTTCAGTAATGGGGCTAGATCACAGAGGACATCAAAATAATGGTAAAAACACCAGTGACACACTTGCCTGCGGCTCATGTGCCACATTTTTGTTTTTAGCACATTTTGACAACATCTGTGATCTATTAATAATAATAAGTCTAGTTTATTAATAAAATCGTCGCGCTTAGAAATGAGCGAATTGCAAAATTATTTTACCAAGATATAGATATTAATTTTAAAAAAAATTCAATTTAAACTAATTACATCGTGTTCAAAATGGACTGGGCCTCACAATTATGAGAAGATATAATACAATAAATTAGATAAAAAAAAGTAGAAACTAGAAATATATATCAAGTTATACATTGAATTCCCATAAGTTCCTAAATTACGTGCCATGAGCATAAAGGCACATCGCAGAAAAAAAGCTTTGTTTAAAGCGTTCAGTTTTGCAACCTATAAGGGATGGTCTGTTTGTTACGAAGGGAGTGGCCGTGCGCCTGTGACCGAGTCGATGGAACAAGATGGCGAAGATGGGACTCAGGCTCTTTTATCTTTGTAAATAATTTGCTACACAACTCCATTCTTCTTGTGTGAAGTGATACACACCCGGTAGTAGCTAAGGCCTGTTGGTAGTGCAGTGCAGCAAAGATGATGCACAGCGCTCGTTTCTGCACTTGCTCGATGCTATCTGATAGTTTGACAGGGAGAGCATTATGCCACACACGACAACGGTATTCGAGGACAGACCTAATGAGCGCAAAATAAACCTTAAGCAGGTCGGCAGGTGGTACTCTGCCGCATTTGAGGACACGTAGAATATGCAGCCCCTTTGACGCCTGAACAGGTGCACAGTGAAATGGAATCTGTTTGTTAAACATTTTCAGATAGTGTGGTACTTCAATGATCTCTGACACACTCTTTTACTTCAGGGTGTGAAATTTCTGTATGACTGTGTGACTGGTGAGAGAATCGAAGGCAGCTATGGTTGCATCATGGCAGATGAAATGGTAAGATTTCTAGCAATGTTTCCATTAAGTTGAACATTTTAATTAGTTGAGTAAATAATACAGTTAGTTTGTTTATTAATCCTTCAAGCCCCGGCCCACTGGTCAACATGCATATTCTTATAGTGGTTTCTTTTTCTTTTCCTATAATGGTACTAACAATTTGCATTGTTGTTTCCGTTGATTGTTATTTTTTTATTGTCATGTCTAAAAGTTTTGTTTTCAGGCAGTGATTTTCTTGGGAGAAAATTTTCAGTGGTTGGTTGCTGTGGAAAACTTTTGCAAAATTAACAATAATAATTATTTTCATTGCACCTTTCAGGGATTAGGTAAAACCTTGCAGTGTATCACATTGATATGGACTCTACTGGTAAGAATTATGAATTAAATACACTTGGTTGATTTTATAGATCACTTTTGTTCGGTTTAATACATCTTGTATTAAGCGTCCTCTCTCTCTAATAACTGCCCTCTCTTTTTAAGCCCAACCCCCCCCACCCCTTTCCTCTCTCTCCCTTGGTATTATTCCTCTTCTCGTAATTCATTTACTGGAAGTTCAGATATGGTTTTTGTCTTTGTTTGCATGACTTGACCTTTTCCACTTTGTGCTCTAGTCCTTTATGGTGAGCTGATAACATCATCTTTGTTAAAATTTGAAAGGCACTGCCATTAATTCTTTTAAGCCCTCCCCTCAAATATGTTTGAATTGAATAAGCTCCCTGGGGGCAGGGGGTTGGTGGGAGGGGGGGAGTGGGGATGGGGCACTCTCTTAATTCAAGTGAGGCACTAGGTATTGGTGTTATGTGAAACTTATGTTCATTTTAGCAGCATGAGTTTGCTTTCTGCACAAGCACAGAGAATGTGTTCTGTTTGGGAGCCACTAGCTGTTTCAGAGTTTTGTTTTAAGATGCCTATTTTGAGAGACCTTCAACCTCACAGGACAATGACAAAAATAAACCAGTAAAAATAAAAATAAATAATAAATGATAAAAACAGATGATTGAATTTACTAGTCTTTTGTTTTTAGCAGGCCTGACGGAATTATGCGCAGATTTTTCAGAAATTATGCGGAATTTTTTCCCAAATTATGCGGTAAAAATCGCAAATTATGCGGGAATTATGCGGATTGCGCAATATCTTTTATAATAAAGTTCCAATGTAACAAGCGTTCTCATTGGTTTAAACAGCGTGCTTTATCAGAGTCCAGAGCACGCATTTCGTAAATAAGATTGCGCGCGTGTTTGCTTTGAAAATAAAGGCCAAATTATGAAGAAATGATAGTTTCTTTATCATAAAACAAATAAAGAAGCCTCACCCGTGCTCTGTTCTGTTATAAAGCACGCAGGAAGCGGCGATAGCACTCAAGAAGTAGGGAGAAACACTCGCCTGCGTCTCGTGTCTCCGCGTGTTTTATAACAGAACAGAGCACGGGTGAGGCTTCTTTATTTGTTAATTTTAACCGAAGCACTTCCAAAAAGGTCCCCACACACGGGGGGGGGGGGGGGGGGGATTTTTTTAGATGTGGACAAGTGTTGTAAGGAGCTTAAGCGGTAACCAAGCAAAAGTAGTATACTAACGCCACAATAATTATTATTTATTTTTCAGAGTTCATGACACGAAAGTGACATTTTTACATCGTAGCATACGTCGCGCTACGTAATTTCAATGTCATTACCTAACGTCTTCAAAAAGGATGCGACCTGGAATCGATCCAAATGAGTTTTATTGAAGTGACAGAAGTGATGCCAGAACTTCAACAAATGTTTCTGCCACTTGTTCACTCATTACGTTAACTAAGAGCAAACTTTTTGTAACTTCAATTTGAATCAAAAGAAACATCGCCACTTAACTTGTAATTCCCTAAACAGTGACATGATTTAATCAAAATTGCTCTATTCTAGCATAGGGCGCAGCCAAAAACGCGACAAAAACAGGCTTTAAATCTGACGTGATCTAAAATGATATGCGTCTATGCTAAGCAGTTCGAAGTGATAATTTTCACAATGGAAATGATATGCTTCATGTATACACGGAAATGTTCCTTGGGCTTATGTATCGTTAATTCTTCTTTCTATTTTTCTTAAAACACTGATAAATAGCTTCTACATCATGCAACTGAGGAAACTGAAACGGACCAGATCCTTGGATCTCGAGCGGACCAAGGAGAAGCCTGGAGGGAGAGCAGTAGTCGATATCATCTCGCTTTGGCCAGTTAAATAATCTCGCTCCGATAGAGTACAGGAACTTCATCTTGGTGTTACTGTTGACCTCGAGAACTCGACCAATGTAGTACAACTTGTGGTACTCTACAGCATAATACTCCCCTTCTTGGGGTGTCTGCATCCTGTCCACACATTTCTTCATGTCAAGCTCTAGCACCATTTGACTTCGAAAGGCGGGGATACTGTCACTGCTGATTACACTTTCTGACAGACCTACAAGGCATCTGGCGTACATGCATACGTACACACCGCAATCGAAGGAGTTCTGCTGTTGGGGTACCTCGTGTTGTTGACCGCTGAAGAAGCTCCATTGCTTAATTTCTTTACCCAGTGAAGGTGACAGTTCTTCCAGCAAGCTCCACATTTTACACACTGCTCTTTCATGGGTTGGCTTCACACCAGAACCTTGTAACAAACTGTCCAAAACAATTATTTCCTTCTGCTTTGGTATTACTACAAGAAGAAACCAGTGCCTGCTAGTCCTGGATTGCAGGGAACAAGGACATAGTCTTGCTTCATTAGGTCTTTGCCTTTCACCACATCTGCGGCAGGTCGGCTGGCAACTCCTTTTTCAAAAGTTTCCCATTCAAGAGTTTCAACTTCAAGTGTAGTTGTTTCAGCAACCAGCTTAAGATAGGAGTCGATAACGAAATTACTTAAGTAATTGGCTTCATCCTTTGATGGCCACCTTTAAGACCAACTAGATCTGCAGTTGACACAAATTGACTGCCTTTGAATGTAACTGAACCATCAACTATGGCCTCGAGAACTGCGTTATTGTGAACAGGAAATACACAGACTTCTGTTTTCTCTAACTTTTCTAGCGTGTTCTTGCCAAGACCATTCTTTACTTGGGGCTGAGTTGGCGGTGTTTTAACATTCTGTATTGGGATTGAAGAGCTACGTTGTTGGCTTGATGGGGCTTTGGCTGATTTCGTAACGTGAGTGCCATCTTTGGATAGGCTTGAGCGGAAACGTTTCCCCTGGTCTTTTTTGTCGGCTTTCAGTTTCCGCTTGGACGAAGCGCTTGGCTTGGTAGCTTTTGTACCTGGTACTTTAGTTGTTGGAACAAGAGGCATTGGCTTCAAAGTAGGATGGAAAAAGCTGGAAATGGGGGGCGATTTGAGAGCAGACCCGGCAGGCATGGTGCCCGCACTGCTTGAACACATCGGAACAGAGCCCGTGGACGTCTGAACAGGAGGTGAAGACATCGGAGAAGAAGCCGTAGACGTCTGAACAGAGCCCGCGGACATCGGAAGAGAGCTCACGGACGCGGACATCGGAACAGAGCCCGTGTGCATCGGAGCAGAACCAGTGGACATGGGAACTATAAGATGAGGAAAAGAACAAAATTGCCTAAAGAGCAGCAATAAAACATATACACATATTTTTTTTTATCATTTTAATGTTCAATGCCATGATGAATTATTTATTGTGATATAATATTTTGTTCATCAGTCTTCGTGAATAATGCACTTATCAGCGGCCATCCCGGGGGGGATGACCCCGGGGAACCCCCGGGCATTTGCACAACAACGTTTACAAATCCCCCTACCCAAAGGCAAGATTTTTTAACAAAACGCTACTAATGTCCCTCCCCTGGGGGGTAAAGAAGTGTGCTCTGCCAAGTTAAAAGGTGCATATGATCTCAAAGACAAAAAAATTATATTTGCTATAATTATACCTATAAGAGTTAATAAAATACAACCAAAGAAAACGATTACAAGAGAAATGCGAAATGGCCGCTGATTAGTGCATAAGTTAATTTCTCGTAGCTTGTGCGCTTTGCCTGAGACTAGAACTTACACGAAAACATTGTTCTACCTTGGTCTGTGGATTTTGAATGGAGTTCCATGGGATCTGTCCACTTTGAAGCAGGCGCTGATGGGGCTGTTTCATTGATAGCTGCCGACTTTGCCTGTAAGTTCCAGTTCAGGAAGTGATATGCCCTGATGGTTTCAGGGGTCATCGACATCCGCTTGTCATCGAGAACGCTGTTGTACATGGAAAAGGATCGCTCTACATCATACGAACCAAGAGTTGCAGTGCAGTACCGCGATGCAATTTCGTAGAGGCTTGGAAGTGCGCCGGCATTGGATTTCCAAAAAAACGCAAGGTCGAGATCTCCACTAAAGCTTCCTTTGACGGCTGCTGGGCCAAGGACATTCACGTACAGATCAATCTCGCTCTTTGGAACGTCTGCTATCCCGGGGATGCTGCTTTCTGACAGGCGACCCATGTCACACCTGATGAGATTTCTAGGATCAAGTACCCTGATATCTTCTAGAAAGGCGCTGCCTGGCTGTCCACCCTCAACCACATATTTGTTCAGCTTCTTGTGCGCATCTGAGAATGCTGACTGAACAATTTCCAAAACGTCCGCTTTGTCTTCGCTTTCAAACCTAGTGGAAAGACAAGAGTAAAAAAAAATAATATACCCGCCCTTGCCCATTAAAAATTCGCGCCTTTTTAGTCCAAAATGAGCCTAAAATATAATGCGCATTGTTTAAGGAACATTTCGCTTTTTTATTGTTGGGTTTATTAACAATATTTGCTCTCTAAATTTATCCCCACTTTGGGGGTAACCATACACTACAGGCGCTCCAAGGTGTAAAGGGAATGAGACCGTAAACCAGCATTGGACTGCTAAATACTTCTAGGCCCAGCTACATGAGCAAGAGCAACAAATGTTATCCCAATAATATTTACCTCGCGACAGAAAAAAAACGCTATTTTGCTAGCAAAAGTATCTAGCACGCTTATCACTATTTGCATAGGAAACTATTGCGCAAGGTTACGCTTTGTCAAAATGGCTCATTGTTGTACATTGTATAAAATAGCTTCCCGTGCGAGAGCAGACGCAGAACTCACTGTTTTCGCCAATATTCTGATTGGCTGCAGTTAGTTCTACAGCTTGGTAAAGATTTTAGACATATAGTTTACCTCCAATCTCCTTCAAAACAAAACCCAATGTCTTCTTCGTTCATCAATGAGCTACTGTGAAGATAACAGAGGAGGCTTTCCATCTTGTTTTTCGCTTGTGTCACGTGTGGGATTCGCTGTTGGAAATAATCTAGCAGAATCATCAACTGTGGCCCCATTCTTGATATTATCATAAGCTGCGCATGTAGACTCTTCATGAATGAGCTGTCGTCATACATTTCTTCAAGCCGCAACAGCGAGTTACTTGCTGCATCTCGTCCACAGCGCTCGATTTCTGATCGAACAAACTCCCCACAGATGGAGTAATACTTGGCGTGATAATCGGCCGATTCAAACCATGCAGACCAGCTCTTCGTTGTTGGGTTGGGCGGCATGACTGGTTTTCCTTCAAGACTTGCAGCGCGTTTCAGAAAGTTCAAGAAACGACTTTTACGTCCACTCGGAATATAGAACAGGTTCCTGAAACACTTGATGAATTCCGATGCAGTTTTAAAGTGTTTCTTGAAATCAGCCGCTGCCAGGTTGATAATGTGGCTGTGGCAGGTTATATAAAAACAACACGGAAATAAAGCAGACAATGTCTCATTGAACGCCTTTTTCATGTAGCTTGCGTTGTCGGAGTTAAAGATCAAGACACAGTCAAAGTCGATGCCATATTCGACCAGTGTCTTAACAACTGCTTGGGAAACAGTTTTGTTGTTCGTTTCTCGTAGAAAATGCGTGTCTATCAAGTACGCAACATTTTTGCCACTTGGCGATAGCTCATCGAAATCAAGCAAAGTTACCATTATATCCAACACATACCGCCCATCATCATCACTGAGCTCATCTACCATCACTGCAACATTTTTTTTACTTATTTTGTCCTTAAGTTCCTGTTTTTCACACTCATACACATCAAAAAGATACTCACGCAGCTGCGTTCTCTTCGGGATTGCCCCGCCATTAACCACTCGGGATTTCAAAAATTCTCGGAGCACGGGGTGGTCAGACTTGCCAAGGGGGATGTTAGTGGCCGTGCACACCTTGATCCAATCATGGCAGACTTTGATCCTCTCTTCTTGTGCCGAATTGCTGCACTTGAACGAAGTTTTTAGAGTCTTTTGTTTTCCACGACTTGTACCGGGCAGATTAAGACGTTTTTGGTGTGAAGCAGCTTCAAGGTGCCTGTCAAGAACCGATTTTCGAGAGTGCTCAAGCACAACATTGCACACGGTGCAAAACAGTAATCCGCTTTCCTCGTGAAAGGTTCCGGCTGAGTATTGCTTAACTCGATCTTTAGCTGTTATTTTTGTTGCTTCGTGGCTCTTTGTTTTTTTCTCACTCTCTTTCAATTTAGTAAACCAGTTTTCCATGCTCTTCATGGCGGTCAGAAAGCAGAAAGGAATTCGCTTTTCCCGCGCAATCGATAAGAATTTCTATGCAAAAAAATGATTGGTTCTCTTCTACCAATGAAATGGCTCGTCATATCTTTACTAGTTACAAGCCCCAAACGGCCGTACATAGAAGGCCTGTTCAATTTTTGAAGTGAATATCGTTCTATCCGAGGACTTCTGAAAGCGAATTCTAGAAAAAAAAAACCTCACATTTCTTATTTGTTTTACAATGAAAACAAGGTAGGAAGTCCTTAAAAAGGAGATATGACACTTAATTTATATTTTTTTCGATATTTTCCAAGATTATGCGGTATTATGCGGGATTTTCAAGATTATGCGGGATTGCCCCCAAAAAGCCAAATTATGCGGCCCCGCATCCGCGCATAATTCCGTCAGGCCTGTTTTAGGGAAAAATCTTACAGAGTGAAGTAACACTTTTTTTAGAGGAATTAGATTCAAGTCCTGAATACTACTGTTTATTTTTTCCTCCTTATGGGTTTTAAAGAGATATTTATTTTTTATTCATTCATTTATTTATTTTTTACAGAAACAAGGACCAAATGGTAAGAAAACTAGTGCTTAAGTACGTGTACTTTTTAACATGAGCACACGATAAACTGCAAGGAAATCATTATGGATTATCACGTCACTTGAGGATTTGGATCAATGCTTGATTAAAATCAATGAGCGGCACACCACTACTTTTAAGTAAAATAAAATATTCAATGTTATTGATTTCTTCCTTTTAGGGCAGCCAATAACAAACAAAGTGATTATTGTTGCACCTTCAAGTCTTGTTAAGGTAACGTTACTGTAAGTCACATAGTAACTGGATTTGGCAGTGTTCTCCCTAAATTTTAGCCCAGCAGGTAAGGGACCATTCATGGCTAGTAAGACAAAAAATATGTCCCAGAGGTGCACTTTCCTGAGGGAGGCGGGTGGGTAGGGGGTAATGGAGTGAGGGACATCGCCCCACCCAAGTAGGAGCTAAGTTCTTTGAAAAGTCATTCGATCATTTGACCTGTTTTACGCAAATCGGCCGTTGTTATCTTTCAACAGCTATTTTGAACGTTTGATTCCAATAATTTTACTCTGTCTTCAGTGTTCTCTTTCCAAAGTGGGTGGCCCATAAAAAGAAAAGCTGTGTATACTTTAGTACTTTTCCTTATATTCATTCATTTCCTTGATCGGATCGGATCACAACTTGCGTATTTTTTAAAACTACTTATTTAATTTTAATAAACCTTCAAGTGGTTGCAGGCAGTAAGAAGTGTTGCTTCTGGCGATAAATTTGACTGCTTACCACCTGATGAGGAGAACACTGTTTGCAACATAGTTTACTGATCTTTCACGTCAAGGCTTTATTGTTGTTGTTATTGTTTGTTTTATGCAACCTCATATAGAACTGGCATAATGAACTGCACAAATGGCTTTCTGGGAGAATCTCTGCCTTGGCCATTGACTCTGGATCAAAAGATGAAATTGACAAAAAACTTGGTATGTTACATGACGTGACCTTTTAGAATTACTTATAGAAGCTTGTTACTTCTCCTTGGCAGCTTTGACTTTCTGCATGAAGTCCAGGGTGCAAAGAAAGTCAGTTTTACAGCTTGTCATTCGGGCTAACATGTACTAGCCCAAAGTCATTTCAACGTTAGCCCGAAAAAAATATTTGATGAAAAAAAAGGCAAGTTAAGAATAGAAATCACTAGAACGGGGATATTGGACCCTACGTTCTTTATACGCTGAAGTCTTCTCCGAATGAGCGCCTCTCCTGGACGGCCAGACTTCTCAATAGACCAATTTCAATATGAATTATTCATACTTGACTGCTTGGGGGAATAACACAGAAGAAATCTCTTGAGGCTCAGCAATGAACAATGCACTTCTTTTGTTTTATTCCCCCAAGCCTCGGAGCCAAGTATGAATTTTAATCTGTCGAAATATTGGTCTATTGCCTATTTTATGTTAAACATTGTTTAAATTGTATTATGAGTTTAGTTTTACCTGTGATTTATTGAAAAGATAATTAATAAGAATATATACTGTAAATAAAACGCTTGGTGTGTCAATCACATTTTTTTTTTCTCTCCTTCTTTTTCCGTGCTCTCCCTTCATCAGTCACTGTGGTGTTTTTTCTAAATTTTAGGAATGTTTATGTCTCAGCAAGAAAGACGTACAACTTATCCAGTGTTAATAATCTCGTATGAAACCTTTCGTCTTCATGCGTTCGTGCTACATACTGGACCTGTAGGATTGGTCATCTGTGACGAGGTGGGACGAGTTTACAGAAATTTTATTTGTTTATTTCCTGTTTATTATATAGACACGAGTGTTTTACTGGAAAATATACTACTCGTATAAAAATTCATAAAAACTACATCCGGGACCCGAGTGGTTTGTTTTCCATAATCTCACACGTGAGTTTATCGATGACGTAATTTTGGTAACTTCCCTCTATTACTTTATCGATGTCTTTTTGTCTATATAACAAAAACAATATTTTACTCACTCGCTGCGCTCGTTCGTAAAATGTTGTTTTGCCACTCGAAAATAAAATTCATATCTTCGCGCCACCGTGTAATATCCCCTATTTATTTACTTACAGTCCAACCTCCATGTGCGACCACCTTCCAATAAGCGGCCACTTATCCAAAACACGAAAATTTTCCCAGTCAAAGCTTTACAGTTGAACCTTTAGTTTCGTAAACGACCACCTCTCATAAGCGACTGCTACCACTTTTAAGGATGACGGTTTTAGAATTTCCCTTCGCTTTGTGTCTCTTCTAAGCGATTACTTGATATAATGGTCTAGGCTCAGTTGTTCAAGAGGTGGATGGCGCTATCCATCTTTTGAATAACCGAGGCCTGATCTTTGTGCTTGCTGTATGCACTACGCTACTTACAAGATCAATGAGAAGAACTTTTAGAAACAACATGGATTTACATTGTAACCCAAAAATTGCATGTACTTGTAATACATTCACTCCAAAAAGGAGAAGGAGTTCTCCTCCTGAAAACACGTTCTACAGTCCGACTCACTGTAAGCGACTTTCTCCAGTAAGCGACCGCTAACTCTTCCTATTTCTGGTGGTCATTTACGGGAAGTTCGACTGTATATATCTCTTATGTATGTTTGGGAGACCTGTTTCAAACGTCGTGCTACTGCTGTGCTAAGCTGGCTCGACTGCAGCACGAGCTACAGTGGTTTCAGACGTAAAATGTAATTCAGTCAAATAGAACGGCTGTTGCCGAAAGCAAAACACGAAAATTAAGAAACGGTTTAGCAGACTTTTAAATGTATTCTAATGTATTTATAATTTATGAATTGAGTTCGGCACGGCAGTAGCATGGCTTAATTTCAAACTTCGCGCTACTGCCGTGCTAAAGTCGAATTTAATTCGATCAATTTAATTCGTCACGGCAGTAGCACAACGTTTGAAACGGGCCTGAGTGTGATGAATTATTCTTGCTCGGTTTTTGTCCCTCTGTAGGGTCACAGACTGAAAAATTTAGAAAGCCAAACCTATTTAGCCCTCGATAAACTGAAGACTACACGAAGAGTGCTGTTATCAGGTTGGTCTGGATGAGAGAATGAACATTTCTACTTGTTCCTCTTATCACGTATTTTCCGTTACGACTTCTTTTACCTTTGTTCTCTTCTTACTTGTCTTCCTCCTTCTTCTTTTGATCATAATCTTTTCCTACTGCCTCTTTGCTCTTCTTTTCTTTTTGTCTGTCACTTCTCCTTCTCTTTGTCCTTCGAACCGTTCTTTACTCCTGATCCGTCTTCAATATTTCCTTTTGTTTTTCCTTCTTCATCAGTCATCTTCCCACCGCCGTACCCGCTCTTTCCCGCTTTTACTTAGGGAATGTTAATATGTTACCGGAATGACTTTCGTTCCGGTATAAGTTTCGTTCCAAGCTAAAGTTCGTACTGCGGTAACATTATTAAATCGAACGGCTCTGCCTAGGGTGTTCTCGCTTGCGTAGTTTTCGCGCCAGATCAGATGCGCATGCACCACTCGTCCCAGGCTACGTGATTTGCGATTTTTTGGCCGGAACGAAGTTCGTTTTTTAATTTTAGAATGAAATTTCGTAACACAACGAGATTTTTATTCGGGATGAAAACCGGAAAGAACTTATTCCGGATAGATTATTGCGGGAACGAAAGTCATACCGGTATCATGTGAATAGCTCCTCATTTACCATCCAGCGGTGTGTCTCCCCACCCTCCCCTACCCCTCGCTATTAGCTGGACTTTTTTTACTTCTAAATAAACCCATTGCTCTATTGTGCAGGTACTCCGATTCAGAATGACTTGCTGGAATACTTTAGTCTGGTTCATTTTGTGAATGGTGGAATTTTAGGTACGTTAAGCCTAGGCCAAACGTCGAACTTTTCGAGAGACGAACCAAACTTTGTGAGTTAAGTCCATGAAAAGTTCGACGTCTGGCTCAGTTAAGTTCGTCTGAACAACAGCAACGACAAACTTCATTAATAAACAGATAGTATTACAGAAGCATTGCCCACAGCTAGTAAGGCTATTCGAGGCGGGACAATGCGTGCAAAATATGAAATTAAGATCAAGGCAAACTAAGGAAAGTTTACAGTTTACAAAAAAATGAAATAAAAATCGTAATATGGATGAGGACTAGATAACATGTCGTCAGTGATTTTCTTCAACTGAGTCTTCAGATCTTGACTTTCTTTTCGTAACGCTTGGTTTTCTTTCCTTAGTTTCTCAGTTCCGGTCATAGTTGAGAAATATTTAAAAGATGTACTAGAAATTTAGCGAGAAACCCGGAGTGATCGAGAACACGTGACCTGACTAATACGCTTTTGGTACTAGTCCCATCATCAACAACACTTTGTATTCGTCTGCTTCAGACGGATACAACATCTGAAGATCGTCTCCGGGACAAACGTCGATCCTCACATGCGACGAACTAAACTAATAAATTTAAAAAAATGTATGATAATTTATATTTAGCCTCATTTGGATGAAAATTTGGAAATTTATTACTGATCTGATTCAGTTGATTGGTTCGACGTGTCCTAAGTTCGACGTCTGACCCAACAGACGATCTTAACTTAATTTAGGTCGACTCAAATTAGAGTTTAGTTCGTCTCATGAAACGTTTGACCTTTGGCCTAGGCCTTAGAAATTAAATGTATAGTGAAACTTGTATTAAGCGGACAGTGCCAAACTCCCCAAATTTATTTCCCTTATTTACTGTCAAAGAAACCTTTATAAAGCGGACAGCTCTATTAAGCGGACGCGGACACCTAAAAATTTGATGCAATGGTGATTTTTATTAGTTTTTTTGTTTTATTTTGTTTTGTTGTTGTTGTTGTTGTTGTTATTGTTGTTACAAACCTGGCTCCGGTTGTTCAAACGTTGCATGGCGCTATCCATTGGATAAATCGCTTTCCAGTGAATAAGTATTAGCAGGGTGCAAAGAAAATCATTTTTACAGCTTGCCATTCGGGCAAGCTGAAGCTAGCATTTACTAGCCCAGACGTCATTTCAACTAGCCCCAAAATCTTTTTGACCAGCAGAATTGATTTCACAGCTCTTCTGTTATTCAAATTGCTCAAAAAATATCACTTGCCCGTCGGGCAAGTTAAAAACAGAATTCACTAGCCCGATAGCAAAATCCACTAGCCCCGGGCTATCGGACATTACTTTCTTTGCACGCTGATTAGGGAAATCAAATGCGTTATCCACTGGATAAAGATTTATCTAGTGGATGACGTTATCCACGTCACCTTTTGAACAACTGGGCCCTGTATTAAATGAACACTTCTCATTAGATTCCAGTACCCAACATGCCAGACACTAGAAATGCTAAAGATTTCTTCCCACAAATTTGTCGATTTTACGATCCAAAAGACTTGGCAATAGATGTCTTAATTTGAGTCAACATTGTCGAATACACAAGGAGAAAAGAAAGCGAAATGCATACACGTCCAGGAAACCTTGACAGCTAGTATGCAATAAACTCTTCGTTAGTCAATTTATCTTATCAGTCAGCCGTATTCCAAGCCTTAATTACCCGTTGGTTAGTTTTAAAGTACTGTATTAGTTTTGATTTCGTTTTTTTTTTAGAGTCAGCTTGTTTTACTCATCTGATCACGTAAAATTTGAGGTGCAATCTAAGTTTACATTGTTTTGATACATGTGCGATAAAGCCCTTTCTTTCTAACCACAAATGTGTGAATGTGGGATTTGCATTATATTGCTTGCAGGGACCGTTTCTGAGTTCAAGAAAAAATTTGAAACTCCCATTTTAAGAGGGAGAGATGCTGATGCCTCTGATGCAGATCATAAGAAAGGAGCTGAAAAACTGGCAGAGGTAGCGTTGTTACATCGTGGCTGAAAGTTTTAAGATTATACGTTTCCGTTTGCAGCCCCTTCTGAATTTAAGAGTGCTTTCCATTTTACCAAACCAAACAGTCATAAACCAGTGGAATTAGACAGCTTTAGATTCTAAGACGAAGACGACTACGAGAGCGAGATTTTCTTAATACTAAGTAGTGCACGCGCGCAAACCAACGTCATTTTGGCGGGAAAATGTGGTAGCCGTCGTCAGTTTACGAGTTTTAGCGAGAATGTTGTAGTGGCGGAAACAAGTTATCAAATGTTAGAATTTTTATCATTTAGCGATCGGGAGAGGGCTTAACCTCCTTCAACGGAAATAAGCGTGCTAACTTTGGTGGTGAAAAAAAGTAGAAAAAAGCTTTCCGGGGTGTTTTTTTTTTTGAGAGAATAGGCGAGAAAACTTAAAATTAAATGTCGTCCTCGTCCTGGAATCTAAAGTGCTCCATTATCAAGAAAATGGAACGATATTGTTCGACTGAAACAAAGTTTTCAATTGAATCGAAGCGATCCATCTGCGTTTCGACGGAAATTTTGTTTACTAATTAGCGAAGCAGTACTGGAAACGAGAATTTTTGGAAATGGAACAGTAAGTTTCGGTTGCCGAACGGACCGACCGGTTACCACCTCTGGAGTGGTCGACCACTTTGACCGGAGAATTTCCACACGGATCAAAGCGTTCCATTTATTTCTCGACCGAAATTTCCGAATTTTTAGGGTAATGGAAAGGACCCAAAAACCTCCGAAATTCGAGAACAAGAAAACCCCCCATAAAGATACGGTAAAATAATTGACAAAAACGTGCAACTTGTTTTGCGATTTTGCACGTTTAACCACCACAGCAGTTTGAATGAACAAAAGTCCCAATCTTGTCCGGCCCGCACCTCATGAATATTCTACCTGAAGTGTGTGATTTTCTAGCAAAAAAAGGCCGCACATGCTTGCAGGGTTCGCACGCACCTTGAAAGTGCTTGAAAGTCCTTGAAATTTGAAATAAAAAGTTCAAGGCCTTGAAAGTCCTTGAAAATTGTAGTCGGTGCTGGAAAGTCCTTGAATTTCGGTGCTAACTTTATCCAACCCAGATTCTCAAGTACCTAATATGAAAGACCTTCAGGATAAAATTGCTCATGTTGTGGTAGAACTAAAAAAGACATAGACAATCTCTTTTTTGCACTGAATGGAGTCCTTGAAAAATGCGAAATGTGTCCTTGCAAGTCCTTGTAAAGTCCTTGAAGTTTTTATTCAAAAAAGGGTACGAACCCTGTGCTTGTCGTAGCATGAGCGAGAAATTTCAGTGCTGGAAGAGTTCAGGACGAAGGAGTTTGAATTCAGTTATAGCGTGTTTTGCCTTACTGTCTAATGTAATCAGTTATCGAGAAAAACAAAAAGTTTAACTTACATATACGGCTCCGCATTTAGGCTTGGCTAAATTTAGTTTTAACTTACTTCTCTTGAAACAGCTGGCATCTTTAGTGAACAAGTGCATCATTAGAAGAACCGGTAGGTGACATAGGGCCTATTTTTTTACGTTTACTGTTTCAGGATTGTTTTAGCAAGTTCGAAATCCCCGGGGAAGGAAGGTACTCATCGGAGTTTTATACGGGGACGGGCACCGCCCTGAGGTCCATCCCCGCCCTTTTATATACCATTTTTGACAGAAAAGGTCCCCCTTTTGTATACCTTCTTCTGACAGATGGTACCCATTTCACCTACCTGCTTTAGAACACTATATCCCTTTTAAGTGCGTTGAGTCTTCGGTCTTAAAATATGAACAAATCGCTAAACTAGACAGTTTTCTTGTCTGTTTCACATCCGTAAAATTAATGCGTCTGTTAGCCCCTTTTGGACCTTTTAAAGAGTGGAATGACAGATTTCCCAACCCTTTCATATACTTCGACTAATGAAATACGTACCCTTTTATAATTATACCTGAAGCCTGAAAAAAAGTGCCCCTTTAGGGCGGAGTCTTACTGTATAGGCCATTATAGAGAGAACCCCCCGGGTTCGAAACTCAAGGAGCAGCCTGAGTTTTACAAAGACAAACTGCGATTTTAATCAATGATAGAAGGAAATAAGAAAAGTGCTTTTTATCTTGTCTAGTCCCTGTTCTGCGTTTTCCCAGTCCCTCTCGGTCAATTCACTTCGGTGACGTATCCGAGGCGAACGGGCGGGTAACGGCCTCACATCTTCGCTTGGACCACTTGACCTGAAATGCTTTGGCCGCGCGGAACAATGAGGCATAGGGACTAGGTAACTTTTTATCCTCACGCAACGCAAAGTGGGAAGAATGTTGCGTGCGACACAAAGAACGGCTCTGTAGCAGACTATATCATGCATCTGTGGCTTGAACTAGTCATCTTCTGACTAACAAACCTGAGGGCGAAAGTTAGCTGATTATACCCCTCACTCTATTAGTGCTCTGATTTATGGGCACAGCCAAGCCCCTGCTTTACAGACACCCGCTTAATACGGACACCTAGTTATTACGGACACTTTTTATGGCCCCTTCAGTGTCAAGAACAGGAAAAAACCCGTTTTTTAATTTATTTGTCGAGATTTCTGGACGGATTTGAACGGTTGTCGGTAGAGGCTACTTTTCGCTCAACAGCTCATACAGCGAAAATGTAGCCTCTGCTCGCAGGGTACCCAGACCGTGGACCGACCGGTTTGCCCGTTTGTAAATAATAAACAACGAAGAACTTTAACTCACACCTGGAAATCGAACTCGGGACCCGCAGAGAAGACCACGCTTTGACCAACTGTACCAGTCCTTTGAAACAGCGACTGCATCTTCTTCTTTATAAATAAAACCGGCTGATATACTCTCCAGCAAATTAGGTTATTCGTAACATAACAAAATAAACATAAGGGCATAAGAAGGTGGTTATGTCCTTATATTTGTAGTGTGAACGCACTTGTTGACATAACGACATTATAACAACATAATGCAGGAGCCTTTAACCCGGAGCGTCTAACTTCCATACTGCGCCTATGCAACGGCGTTTTCACAAGTAGGTCTATTTTTAGATAAGCCTTTGCCGCGAATTGCTTTCGAAAGGCCAATCACTAGCAATTGCGTCATCAATGATAAACTTTTAATACATGAGCATGGCGGACACACGTGAGGAATCTTCAGAGAAGTCTTCTGACAGTACTTCAAGCGACAATTTCAGTATTTACACGGAAACTAGCAGTTCAGAGCAAGATTTGCAAAACCTAGCCAGGACGTCCATGTTCGTAATAGCCGACTGTGAAAAGGTCCAAGCGAGCTACTAACAGTCTAAACGACGATCAAATGGAGGAATTGACCTCGTGGAATAGTTATTTTTCGCGGGAAAAGCTTATCTAAAAATAAACTCACTTGTAAAAACGCCGTTGCACGAATTTATGGCAGTTGAACGCTCCGGGTTATGGGCTCCTGCATAATGACATTAGGAAAAAATGATCTTTTCTTTATGTCGTTCTGTCGCCCTCTATTTTTTCAATCACGGTAATGTCGTTATGTTGATGTTCACATTAGCGACATAAACTTCTTAAGTTATTATGTTGTTATGTCATTATGTCGCAAGTGCAAACCAGGCTTACGTTTATTGAGTCCGTGGATTTCTAATTATGTTTGTGTGATTTTTGCTTCCCAGCTACAATTCTGTCGAAGTATTTGCCTGTGAAAGGTTAGTTTAATAAATTCTTAAGTTTTTCTATGCCAATTTTCCACACTTCCCCTTATCCCAGTTCATACTGTAACAACTTAATTTCCTTGTATTTGCGGGAGGAAAGGATGCCACCCCTTGTGCAACTTATTTCATCTGTTTTTGACATTCATTATCATCATCATCATCATCAGTATCATCATCATCATCATCATCATCATCATCATCATCGTCATCGTCATCGTCATCATCATCTTCATCATCATCATCATCGTCATCATCATCATCATCGTCATCATCATCACAATCATCATCATCTTCGTCATCATCATCATCATCTTCGTCATCATCATCATCATCTTCGTCATCATCATCATCATCTTCGTCATCGTCATCATCATAATCGTCATTATCATCATCATCATAGCAGCAGCAGCAGCGACATCGTCATCGTCATCTTATGTGCGAAACCGTCTCGATTGTCACCATGTTTACATTTCAAACTCTAAAGTACAGAACCCTCAATTGAAACTCAAATTTAGTAACGTGTGATGTTTTTCTAATCCAGTGGAACAGGTTGTGTGTTGTCGCTTGACGCCTCTGCAGATACAGCTCTACAAACTTTTCATTCAGTCCAAAGCGTTAAGAATGGAACTTGTCAAATCCAAGTCAGGTTCAGGCATTTCTGCGTCATCTCTGGCTTTCATTACTCAGCTAAAGAAACTTGCTAATCGTAAGTAAAAATGTTACCTGTAACCTTTTTTTGTGTTGCATTTGGACTGAGCTCAGACGTTGGTTTAAAAACATTTGTTATTTTTACTTTTATTATTTTTTGTAATCCATAATAATAATACTATTGTTAATATTATTATTTTAATTAACTTTTCTTATTTTATTTGATTTATTTTTCTTTTCACCCTCGGTTTTCTCGGGTACGCAGGTGCGTACCGTGCGTACAGGTAGCGACGCCCCCGTTTTGGCTAGCTTGCGAAATATATTTTGGAGACCAAAAAGGCTTCCTTGGCAAGTATTCAACCAACTAAGTGCAGATTTGGCAAACTTGACACCAAACGTTTTCGTGTTAGTTTAAGTTAGATAAAACGCGATAGGCAATCAAAGCAGAGAAATCTCTTTTAAAAAGTAACTTTATTGAGTTTTCTAAATTAGTTTATTCTAATGCACCAGCAATACATGTAAATCACCGTCTTAACAAGCCTTGTTACACTGTAAGTGGATGTAGCAATCAGTGTAGAATAACAAAGGTGTGACCGACATCGGCGCTTTATTCTTACATACTGTTACATAGCTATTAGTGGTCACATAAGTAATGAAGTCAGAAAGTTTAAAAAACTTAACTGAATTGGAATCATTTGAGATACAATCACGGTCTTTACAATATTGTACAGTTAAGTACTATTTTCAACAGTAGGGCTCAAATCATTAACGGGCACGAAGAGGAATTATAGCAACGTTTTGTTTTTGTCGACAATTAAATAATGTTAAGAGAGCTTTTCTGAACCTTGGCATTCTGACTGTATAAATAATAGGATTAGCGAGCGAGTTTATGTGCAAAAATACCAGTAACGAATACTGCACTCGCAATTTTGTTTGGTAAGATTCCATTCTAGTAGTTTTATAATAAACAAAAGTGGCTATAACATATGGCAGCCACATCATTAAAGATACAATAGTCATTATGAATAATGTGACAGTCAGCTTTCTTTGTCTACTGGTTGCACCATGGTGCTGAGGATGAGTTCCATAAAGACATTTAACAACAATGGAAGCGTAAGAAACACAGATAAAAAATAGACACAAACAGTTGTATGATTGCCATAAGTAAAAGCTATGCGACCCTCCTTCCCCAAGGAGCCCAACTATCCTAATGGCCGTTGATACTATCGCAGTTAAAACCCAGACACCAGCAATTGTTGCACCATAGACCCATGTTTTTATGACGCGATGTCTTAATGGACGGAATGTCGCATGCAGTTGATCTAAGGAAATCGCTGCAATGCTTGTTAGAGAGCTGAGAAGAAACCAGTGAAAGAAAAAGAAAATAACGTTCTTTGATAAGCTTATATTCACAATGTCGCATCCTAAACCTAATAATTTAAATAGAGGAATAGAGGAAAATCCTCCAACCAACATATCAGCTATGGTTAAGTTTATAACCAAGAACATGGCACGAGTGCGAAGGTTTCTGTGCTTCATAAAAAGAATGATTGATAGAATGTTGACAGCTACTATAGCAACTGACTCGATGAGGAAAACAGCAAACCAGATGTTGCACTCCGATGAAGAAATAATCATCGTAGATTCCGTTCTTGTTTTCTTTCCACTGCTGTTCAACCTTTAGAAAGAATTCGAGATACGTTCAGTTACTTGGAATCAAGAAAATTGTATAAAGATCAAGAATGAAGGTACCGCTCACCTTAACCTTTGATACTTCAGATGACGACACAAATGCAGAAGTGAAAGGTACTCTTGCTCTCACCTGTAGAAGAAATTTAAAGTCGTTGCTTGAGGATATAGTAGAAGGCGTTTTTCTTGGTCGTGTTGACGGATTTTCGCCAACCGACCCCAGTTAAAAGTTGATAAAACCATGAACGGGTCTGTTGGATGAATGTATACTGAAACAAAAGTCTGTATCGAAATTGCGGAAAAAATCTATCTACAATTAAAGTAGGCCTTCATACCCTTTTTCCCCTAGGGCCGGGGTAACTGATCACCTAGCCGAAAGTTCAGTTTTCCTCGTCGGTTGTAGTATGTTCATGGGAAAGACCACTGTTTACTCAGGTTGTGGACGCCAAGGCACATCTGTGATCGAGAATAAAATAATTTTTTGAAGTAACTTGTTTAAGAAAGAATATCCCACCACATGTTTTTCGCGTGGAATTAAAATTGATCTTCGTTGCTTTTGTCTATCAACTCAGATAAAATTAGGAAAAATGCTTCTGCTGACCAGAAAATTTAACAGTGGAAAGTCGATCAATGATTGTTGACCAATTAGACATGCAACTGTTTGAGAAACTAAGCCCTCATTCAACATGAAGAAATGTTTAAGAGAGAGATTGAGAAGTCAATATTTAAAGCGTCCAGTTGATTTTTTGCTGTTATTGTTGTTGGCCGGGTTTTTCTTTTTACGTTAAAGATTGTTTTGTCTTTGCTGGGTTTTGGGGGGAAATATTAACTTACCTTTCACAAAAATACTCTACTTGATGACTCTCCAAAATATCCGTTGGGCTTGCTCTGACGATAAATAGCGGTCACTCAATTTATTGCTGTTTTTAATAATCTGCACTCTTCGTTTTGGTAAAACATTTAAACAAAAAACTGTTGATATCAAATAATTGCCATGCTCATCTTTTTCATCTCTAAGCCCCCCCCTAGCAAATAGGCATCTGCGTTAAAGGTTCCTCTGACAATAAATTGCCGTTATTCATTCGTTTTTAATAATTTTGGTAAAACATTTAAATAAAAAACTGTTGATATCAAATAATTACCATGCTCATCTTTTTCATTTCTTAGCTCTTGTCAATATCGCAGACTGGTGGCATGGTAAACATTTCATGCCTTTTTAAATTCTTGTTATGGAAATTTTGGAGAAAATGTAGCTATTTAAAGTTAAGCTTGCTCTAACTTTTATTGACTTGAGCTTCCTTTTTCAATCAGCCTTGGACAAATTGACCTTAATTTTCTTCAGGACACGTACACTTTAGTTGCAGTCTATTATTCGCGCAAATACGACATAACGCATACTAAATCTTCTTTTTACTTGAAACACTTTTGAGAATATTTTTGAATGATGGTACAACTGGGAAAACTATTTACGGCTAACCTGAGATCAGGCCCAATTTTAGCGGTTGTCACACATTCTCTCTAACGGCAAGCGCTAAAATTGGGTCTGATCCAAACTCATTCACGTTTGTGCTCGTTACGGCCAGATTTTGGCCGTAACGCTGATTGGCTGTTAGAACAATTCCACAAGATCTGATTGGCTGTCGGAAACGCCGGAAGTTGAGAGCGCTTACTCCTCGCGTGGTTGTTTCCAGTCGTGAATGATCCGTCGTCGGCGGAGAGAAGGATCGATTTTGCTGTCTTTTTTATTGTTTTATGGTCTTATGGTAGGAAAATATGCCTTAATATGTGCCATGGAAATTCAGAAAATTCATATGGTTGTTCATATATTCTCTGGATTTGCTTTAGTTACGGAACTAATGTGAGTGTATCGCGGAGTTGAATCCCTCTGCAAGAAGTTGACCGCTAACAAGGTACCTTTTGATTTACCAACAAACGAGTGCAAATCAAAATACTGTCCATCTTAAAACTGGTTTCATTTGAAAGTTTAGCCGGGAATGACTTCTCTGAACGGGGTACGCAAGCGGAGGCTCGCTGCGAAAGAAACCTAAATCGCCAACTGTGAAGTATTAGACGAAAAATTTCACATCGCTGTGCAAGGAATTTTCAGTGTAGGTACTTTTATAAAAGCTGGTGGCTTAAGGTAACAGACTGGTTGTTTGCCTTCGCTTTTTGTAAAAAATATACCAGGAAAACTGGTGTCCTCGCTCGTTGGCTGTTTGCTTTTGTTTTTAAAGATTTATGTACTGAAAATCGGGGGAAATTGCCGAGGAAAATATTAAGGCGACAGAAAAATAGAAATTTCAGTATTTTAAATTCGAGCGCGCCTAGCCAAAATAATAAAACCAGTAGAACATCGTGTCGCCGTCTTTTCGAAAACTTTTTACCCTCTACGGCAACAGAAATAACCTTCTAGATCTCCCTTAATCTCGCAAGAAGTTAAATGTGATTGTGCTGACTGTTTTATTTGTAGCTGAAAAAAAAAACAGATAAAAGCTATTTTTCAAGTCCGGGAGGGGGGTGGGGAGCTACTTCCCATACATTCTCTTAAATGAAATCCAAACGATGTTCTCACAACTTGCAAAGCGATCAGCAAGGGTCTTGTCAGCGGATTTGTGTACTGATCGTGCGCATTACGTCAAAATCCATTGATCAACGGTCTTGAGAAGAATCAAAGACATGGTGGTCGAAGGCGGGACTGTTTCTCACTATTGTATTTTGGTAATTCGCAAATTTATTGATTTTATGTCGCTTTTCAGACATAGTTTGTGCTTTTCTTCTTCTGTTAAACAATTTCCCTCTGCAGAGTTTGGAATATGCAACATATGGTTCCGCACAGCTGATAAGAACCGCCGAAGAGTTGAGCTATCGAGCAGTATTTTGCCAGGGGCACCCAACGAGAATATAGTTCAAAACCACTTAAACATAGCATTGTTGAACGTATTCTAGTATTTAAACGGTAGATATAGGCATATTTTTATCCCCTAAAATTTTTTCATCTGTTCGGATTTCCTAGCTGAAAGTCTAGTGATCCGAAAATTATAGGGATCAAAACTTACCTTTTCGAAAATTTCAGCCAAAAAAAAAGCTCTCGAAAATTCTAGGTGACCTTTTTAGGGTAAAGATCCGTTGAAAATAGGCAATTATACCATTTTTTATTTGTTCGGAAATCCTAGGAGAAGCAGGCAAGCAAGAAATCTTACAACAAATGTTCCGAAAATTCTAGGTCTCAAATCGTCTTCCGAACAGATATTTTCCGAAAATTGATGTTGGGTGCCCCTGTTTTGCTGCAAACCTTAGGAAAGTTAAAGTCGCTTCAAGGTACAGAGCTTTCAGTAGTAGTTGTGATTTGTTTATTTAGGATCGTTTTGAATTTTAACTTTGGATTCAAGGTGTTGACTGATCGTAATAAACGAAGTGAAATGTTATGAAGTGTGAATGTTTATTCAGTTATGATTGTAGAGCTGTAAGCTCATATTTATAAAGGTCTCTGAATATACTTGCTTCCAATAAATTTGACACTTTCTCCAGTAATTTTTATCAGCATCAAGTTATCCTTACCCGGCAAAAACGATGTAACCTATAAATCGATCGAGCGCATTGTTGTTAGTTAAGATCTAACACGGTTTCCCCCGCAATATCAGTACCGAAAGACAAATGCGAAGTATTTCTGATTTCCTCTGCCGGTTCACTTCTTGCTTCTAAAAAGTCTAAATCATTTACTGTGGGAAAAATACAATTATCCGCTGACCACCACACGGGGTGACCGCTTTGCAAGTTGTGAGAACATCGTTTCTCGGTCCCAGACCTCGTCTCTTCCCCGCCCCTCCCCCCCATTGTTTAAGTCAGCCAGGCTGCATTTTTCCTACGCGTGAAAAATTTGCATAATAGAAAAACAAGCAACGGAAGTAATTCTGATCCGTTTGAACCACCTTATGAGGCTCTATGGCAGTAAAAGCTTCGGCTAAACCATACAGTGGAATGGTGCAACTTTAAAAAATAGAATTGAGGCTCAATTTTTCAGTTAGAACCCGAGACCTTGAACGACGTCTCCAGGGCTCAAAATAACGGCCGGTCAACGGACAATGTCCGGCCTGATCGTGGACTTGACCGGTCAAACTCTCGTCTGGCCGGTCATTTTGACCGGTCATCTTTGGATACGAACATTTTATAATATTTTCCATAAGTTGTCGCTTAATGCGTTTTGCTCAGTCTATAACGCTGTAGTGACTTCTTTTCTCTTTGGCTTTTTTTTCTTTGCTGCTTCGCATTAAAGGCTGTAAAGAAAAAAAGGACACCGTAATAAATTTCATGTCGTAATTGAAATGCAACAAAGCGAAACAACAACGAACTGCTGGAGTGACGCAACGATGCAGCTGGTGGTACTGTGCTTTCTGCTTGTGCTAAAGTCAATAGTGTGACCGTCTTTGGGAAAAAATATACTAACGATAATCTGTTATCCGTTAGAAAACTAAAGGATAGCTAAAAGTTTTGTCCATCTGATAAACTTTCTTTTTCAGCACTCTGCTGAACGTAACTCAGTCCAGCTCTGATAAAGGTTATTTTTGTGTCTACTGATGAAGAAGGCTTCTCCACTGGTAAACGATGCTTTTTAATGTCGTTTACTGATGGGGTCGGCGAAAAGGAGAGGAACTCCACCAAAATCAGCCAGTTAAACTTACAAGGTTTATTTTCCTTACTCGCAAGGCGGTTCTACATTCTTCCTGATGTTCCTCTCTTTCTCTATCTATAACTGCTTACCCTTCTTCCTTCAGTACCTTAGCAGCTCGCTATTTGTTTTTGGTCGTTTATTGTTTATTTTTTCCTCCATTTATTTTTTTTACAAGCCATTTAAATTGTATTACAAGATTGAAGAATTAAAGATGCTATTTGTAGAATTAAATATCAGGTTACAAGAATAAATGGAGAGGGCAGGAAATAGTTAAACAAATTACTTGCCCTTTGATTAAATTACAGTTTTATTTAGGTTAAAAGAGAAAAAAAGAGAAAAGTATAAACCCTATAAACTATGAAAAATATATGAAAAATATTCAAAAGAGAGGAAAAAAGAAAAGCACATACACACACACACATAAAAAAATGTAACATTTGAGAGTCGGTGTGGCGATGATTAATACTGAGCAAGATAATAGTTGAAAAGTGCTCTTTTAAACAATTTTTTAGTTGCTTTTTCACGTATAGATAAAGGAATATCATTCCAATAATAGCATCCTATGACTGTAGGACAGAATTTTCTTAAATTTATTCTAAAGCTACTGGGATTTAGGTGTTGCAGGGATGCACTTCTTGTGTCTTCATTCTATTCATTTTGGTCGTTGACCATATGTCTACATATATAATAATGCGTAGGATGTATCTCCCAACAAAAAAGAGCCCGCCACAAAACCCTATCTAGCTAAGTCAATTACTAAAAACGTAGAAATGTCCCTTTAAAAGATAACTATCTTCCGAGGGATGTCAAATTTGGAGACAAGATGTCCCATTCTCAAAAAGCACACTGTTGATATTTATGTTTCTGCATGCAAAGCTTATTAGTAAATTGCCTATTCATTACGTTGCATTTTTAAAGGTAAACAGTTAGAATGCTCTAGAACCTTAAAAGCCTATTGATCGGATATTTATCGAACTTTTATTAACTTTCCATATATCTTCAAAATCGGGAAGATAAGTCCTGTAACACATCTAACGTTTCACATCTAACGTTTCACATGATCTGCTTGTAAGAGGAATGTGAAAATCAACTTCGACAGAATTTGGGGATTGTCCCTCAAATACCGAGAGCTGAAATAGTTAATCATTACACATAGCAATTGAAAAAGATCAATTAGTGATTATTCAGAGGAATAGTAGGCACAGAGGAACCAGTGTGGGCAAAGAGGAACATTAGGCACGGAGGCAAATCGATCGCAATTCTTACCAGGTCGTGCGGCAGCTGTTTCTTCGGGAATAACTTTTAGCACATCGATTTTATAACAATTTCTTTATGTGGAACATGAATCTCGTTTGCAGACTCGATTCCAGAATAGTCTGATAAAAAAATTTAAGCTAATCGAGAACGAACGTTGTCTATCCCTCATTCTTGTAAAGAGCTTTATGCATATTTCTGTTGACGTTAATGAGCCCTTCCCGATAAAGTGTTACGCGACGACCCAAACGAAAGCTCTGCTGTATATTTATTGACTTCTGATGATAAACACGCTGTTTGTGGAACGGATTTCCCCCAAATAAACTTCTTTACCGAAAATATTTAGTGTTGTTCTTCTTTGTAGAGGAGACTTTCGATCACGTGCCGGGCAACGAAAAAGAGTTTTACCGATATGCAGATATGGGACGACCCTTGGGGATTTCAGACACCGCCGTACGATGATACTCAAGGTATAACGGAAATGAAAACGGGCAAAAACCGCGGAAAGGAACTCAAGAACGTGTGAATGAATTTTTCACCTACTTGCTGCCAAAAAGCTGAACGTGAATGCACTACAACGATCTATTGCCAGCGTAATTCGATATTACATTAGGCAAAAAATATATATACATATATTATAGTATCTTGACCGGCCAAAATTGGGGTTTGTCCGGGCTAAAAAATATTTGGCCGGTCATCAGGACCGGCGACCTGCTGTCCGATATTTTGAGCCCTGGTCTCACGCCGATTAATAGTGTATACTTTGAAATGTCTTTTAAAATATGACTTATCTACAAAAATATATATATATAAATAGCAGCTTTCAAGCGGCCAGTTTCCTACGCAGAAAGAGACAATTTGTGAGCTGAACTGTACATACAACAAGTTCAGCAAGGTTTCTTATTTTTGCCATTGTTTTTTACACCAGAGATCAAAAATTATACCGCCACTGAAACATTTTGTTTCGTTTGTAACTTACCTTTTCAGCAGATACCGTGCTGGTTGACTGTCCTGAAGGACAACGAAGCCGGAAAATGCTTGCGAAAGTCAGCGATTAACGTATTTGTTGGTCTGGCGTCAATGACGTCTGTGTTTAATTTGCGGTTTCCATTGATTCAAATAGATATCTAGCCTTAAAACACTCTCTTTTAATATGTATATAATGTATAGTAAACGCAAGTCTTGCGTTATTTTGAAGCAAAAATATACAACATAATTCCTCGCCATTTCGAGGAACAATTATTAACGAGATGTTTTTGTACTTGACAAAAAAGCAAGGCAAGACACCTATTTTTCAAATTTTAACTTTTATAAAAACACAACCTAGCTTTGAGAAAACACGGATCGAACCTACAGCAACCTGCAAGGAGCCAATCAAACCGCACCAGTTTCGATCCTGCATACGAACCAGGGTGGATATATAAACGCCTACCAAATCAAGAAACACGGAATGGTTCAGAGTTTACCTCAACCATCCACCACATAGCAACTGATGAGAATCGGAAGATTCGAAACCGCAGGTCTTACTTGTAAACTTATGTTTAACTGCATACGTTATGTAGTGGCACAAAGAAGCCAGTCAATTAATTTTTAAAAAACCTAAAAGCTATGGTATTAAAAAATATCTAGCCTTAAAATACCCTCCTTTAATATTAAAATTGCAAGTCACATTTACAAAGCGATAGAGCTATAAACCGACATTCAAAGAACACAGCATTGTCTGGCCGGTCACCCCTTACTGTTTTTCCTCATCACGTGCTAGGCAACCACTGTCTCGTGTGAATGTAACTAGATTATTACGCCGACTTCAGGTTAAAATAGAAAATATTTATCTCTTCAAAGTAATAATAAAGAAAACATGGAAACGTCTTTGAAAACTGGCTTTGCCCAAACTTTGTCTTGCTGCCTAAAAAATCTGAGTTGCCCAAAATTTGGGGGGCCTCGTCCCGCAGTGTCTACTTTAAAAGAAGTTTTAATGAAAAAATGGAATTTTATACAAAACCAACCGTTACTTCCCCAAATTTTTAAAGAACCACCTATCATTTCCTACAAGAAAGGAAAATCCCTAAAGGGCATGCTCGTGAGAGCTAAAATATAAAAGGTTAACACAAGGTTTCACGCCTAAATATTTTGTTTTATTATCGCATTAAAACAAGAGAAATGATCACATATGGGCTTTTCAAGAGTTCCAAATTTGGTTCTTTGATTAATTTTCAATATCAGTTTTGTTGGATAAGACTCCACTTTAACTTGGCAGGGAGGGGATAAAAGAAAGAGAAGAAGGCAAGATGGGTGAGGGGGGCGATTATTTTAGATATTTCCGTCTAAAGGGGGCGATTATTCGAGGGAGGCGATTAATCGAGTGACGGCTATTATTCGAGGAAATACGGTATCTCTCTTTGAAAATCCATTTTATTAATGCTTGTGTCACGACTTAAGAATCTGTTCTAACAGTTGATTTTCTTTTCTCTCTGACATGATTTGTATATCAAAAAGAGCGATCAATTTTCATCCTCAATGCATATAGATACTACAAAGATAGCCCAGTGATGACCATAGGGCCTGTTATCTCAGATTATTACACTGTACTTACCATGAGTGTGAATGAAATAAAAGCAAATGGAATCACTTCTCATCATAGCGGACAACCTCGATTTCGTTGTTTAAATGTGCCACACAGAAGAAGGACATAAAAGTTTACCCCTTTTTTAAATAAGAATATTTTAAGGTTTAAAAGTAAGGCCTTGTATAGTGTAAAGTAATTATAATTTACTTTTACCGGAATCACTTGTTATAATATTATAATATAAATAATAATAATAATAATAATAATGTTGGTTAAGGTAAAAAAACCACTGCAAAACCACTTGCTCAACGTCAGATCCAAAAAGATCGTGATCAGTTAAAATAGATCAAATGGAAAACGTTACAGTCAAAAGAAGACTTTTGCAGGGACTGATCAAACAACGTGAAATAGAGTTTGCTTGCGATATTTCGACTGCCCAATACCAGTCTTCATCAGGTTTATTGATAACTTGATAAACCTGATAATAATAATAATAATAATAATAATGATGATGATGATGATGATGAGATCTGATAATTAGCACCTTTTACACTTTATATTGTATTTTTTCTCTTCTAATCACATGCAACTAAATTTTCACACACAACTCCTTATTTAATGAACTCACCGAATTAAGAACTACACGAATTTGAAAATGATGACACGGAGTCATCGAAACAGCATTAATTGCTATCGCTGATTTTTATTCTCAATTTTTTTGTCTGAATCCTCCGTTATTAGAATAAAAGTAATAATAATAATGATGATGATATTAATAAAATTAATAATAATACTAAGATTACGAGAAAATGGCAAGAAAGCCATTAGGCTTATCCAACGTTGGTAAGCCCTTTCAGTGCAGTGCGAAACCAAGTTACTTACTCTCACTTAAAGCTGTGAACAGAATCCTACCAATGTTACCATTCAGGTGAAAATTCTTTAACAAAACGTTTGTGCAGTACTGCAGTGTATTTGTTTCTCGGGTTTTCCAGAACTAAGTTTTTGTTTATTTGTTTGCCGTTTTTTTGTTTGTTTGTTTTTTATCATTACGAACAATAGGAAATGAAAGGCTTAAAGATTTATACAACAGGTCCAACAGCCCAAGTCCTCAGTTTAGGGCTGATGGGCCTCATTAACCATCAAAATACTGCTTAACTTCGTTAGTTGTTATAACCCGCATTAAGGTTCATTCTTCACCTGTGGCAGATCCTGAGTTAATATATGACAAGGCTCGAACAGGAGAAGAAGGATTTGAGGGAGCTTTGGAGCTGTTCCCGCAGAACTTTAGTCTCAAACAGCTTCAGCCTGACCTCTCTGGTAAGTCAGTCTTCATTTCACTTCCAAGCCATTGCTAAGGTTGCACAATCAATGAGAAAAATTCCCGAAATGTCTAAGTAAACTAAGTACGTGTGATAGGGAATGGTGACGAGTCAAATTAGGGAATAATTTCACGCGCGTTTGTCCAAATTCTAATAATTTAAAACGCAAGTGAAATTATTCGTTAATTTCACAAGCACGCTATTACTAATATCATGGGTGACAAATTTACGCTTACAATCGTTAGTGTTTTTAAAACATGTCTCAATATCGTATCGATCGGGAACACAAGGCGCTGTAAAGTTTAGACCTTAAAATTTTGGCTTACGTTCGCAAGTTTCTGAATTTTTGAACACAATGCCTGGTAGAATCCTTTTTGATGTGGTCTTTCGTGTGTTTGCGTTTTCTAAAACGCCTTTTAACGCCCTGACATGTGGCCTGAATTTCAGTCGATTACTTCCAGTGGGACGGAAAGTTGCCATGGCAACTTTGTTCTTTCACATGTAAACTTACAAATTAGTAATGGTAACAGGACTGAGTAGAGTCCAATTCGGTCTGTAATTATACGATTGATTAACAAACAAAATCAGACGACCGCGTTGCGGGAGTCCGATTTGTTTAATCACGAGTATGATTACAGACCGAATTGGACGACACGAAGTTCCGTTACCAATTAATCATAACTTTAACAAAGTTTGTGATATATAAAGCTCTTTTTTTAAATCAAAACACTAGAAATTCCAAGATTTTTTTAAGCGCGCGCGTGATGGCGCGTACTGTCCAATTACGTAAGCATGACGCGTATTGTCCTATTAAATTATCCTATTAAGGCTGAAATCAGGGCAGTTGATAGCCAATCAGATTTGAGAATTTTTGTTATAGTTATGATTGACGCTGAAGTTTCGCGCCAAAATTAAGGAGTAATTTGTCATTTATGACATTACAGTACTAATTACGATAGTATGCTTTCATCTGAGTGGTTATGTAGAATTTTGACCGAAAACTGTAATTAATTTCGGTTCAGGTAACGTAGGGACCTTCAATGGTCCCTGCTACAACAGCTTCGTCTTATAAGAGTCGATCATCCCATGAGAGCAATTTATTCCGGCTCAATTGATGGTACGTCTTTTTAGGAAAGATGCAAGTGTTGGATTATATCCTAGCAATGACGAAGTCAACTACTACAGACAAGGTACGTTATATGTGCTATAGGTTGATGCCTCTGGGTAGTTCATTTTGTTTACAAAACCGGTTACGCGTCTTTATTCGCTATGGAACTTAAAAAAGATCACTTGTTAGTGAAAAAAATCAAACCTCGTGTCAAACAAATATGTCCCCTTATAGAAGCATATCAAACGTTACAAACAACAAACATGAACTTTGAAAAACTGTTAGGCTAACAAGTTTTCAAAAACGGCAATTCAAATTGGTTTCAATCTTCAATTTTATATATCCGTGCCTCGTTTTGTATTTGCCGTGTTATTCATACCTTCTTTTAACGTTTTGAGCTTTTATTATTATGTTTCACTCAATTTGGTGGCAGTTTCCAGTGTTTAAATGTTGATAAATTTTGTGACGTAGCTCCTTGAATGAAACTGTGAAAAGAGGCAAATGAATCCAAGTAAATTTGTGCAAATCTACATTTATTCGTTAATAACGTAAATTTAGCGGGCAAAGAAATTCCTCGGGGTTTGACTGCATACTAAACTGAACCAAGTTGTTTACGGGTTGAGATTGCAAAGCTGGTCTCAAGAAGATAGATACTCCTTAGAAGAAGCAAAGTTTAACCAGGGACATAGGCCATGGAACTAAGCTGGATTGAGTGGCACTCAATGCCAATTATAACACGAGCTAAAACAGTAAAACTCTAATGTCGGGACCAAATCCTGGGTCTGTAAGTCCGTGATATAACGGAGGCTTGTTTCAGTCAAACGTCTGTAATGTTTCTCTTTGGGTTTCGCCTGGAAAAGCAAACTGTCCCGCGCAAGGCGGATGTTGACGGATGCCATAAAGCTAGTTGTATTTTACTTTCTGCAGGTTGTTCTTGTATCTAATTACACTCAAACTCTCGATCTGTTTGAGAAACTGTGTAGGCTTAGAAGGTTAGTGCAAAATTCAGTTACTTTTAAATTCTATATATTCGTTTTTCTTTTCTCAAGGCTTTGCTAGGGATTTAAAAAAAAAACTCATAAAGATACAACAGAAGAAAAGACATTAACGAGTGTCGCTGATTGGATGCTGAAAGAGGCTGTGTCTTGCTGTTTGCTGTATCAGTTTTGGAAAGCGAAGACGCGTCTTCGCATAAATTGAATTCCAAAAATAATGGTTTAGTTTTGTTATTTTAGACTTTATTTAGGCATCGAAACAGTTTCCTATCGTCTGTTGCGACGGATGGCAAGGATGGACATGGATTGAAACTTCTTCATAAGTCTACAGTAGTAATGCGCATGATTAAACTGCGTTCTGTGCATTCTACTCATTCTTTGTGGAAGAACTGACGAGTGCTGGCTACTTACATGCGACGCATGCGTTATAACAACCTGGAGATTAGGATTGCGGGCTCCTCTTGTCGCCCGCAATTAATATCCTTTTTCTATTTTTTTCAGATAACTGCAGTCTTTCGGTCAATCTCTCAAATAGTTGAACAATCCTTTCGTTCTTCTCACCAGCGCTCAACCCTTTTAATTCTTTTTATTCTTAAGAGTGTTCAAAATCAAATTGCAGAATACTGAAAAACTGGGAAGAAAAATAATGATAATAAAAAAGTATTGAAAACGAATGTCTCAAAGCGTAGTTTTGTTGATATGAAACAAAGTCAAATCACGGTCGTTTTTGCTTTTTCCGTTGTTGTTTTATGTTTGTTTGTTTGTTTGTTTGTTATATACGTCTATTAAAAGAACAAAAAGTGTACAAAGTACGAATAAAAATAAATATTGTAAGGAATAATTACATACTAATCTTCAAACAATATGAATTTTTTTTTTTTGCCTAGGTACCAGTATGTTCGTCTTGATGGAACGATGTCGATCAAAAAACGGCAGAAGATTGTAGACAGATTTAACGACCCACATGTGAGTGGATCACAAGAGACACTTTCATGGTTTTCTTTTTTTGCTAGTTTTTATCAAGACCAGGTAGCGAATATCCATTGACACTGCTGGAAAGATCGCCTTCACAAAAGGAAATTGAAACTTACCGAATTTAAAGGTGATGCGTTAAAAGCGAGCAAAGATATTACATTCAAACTTGGCATCTTTACTCATTTAACCCTGTAAGTGCCAATAGTGGCCAACATCTATTTTCTCCTAACAATATTCATACATTGTTAAGAGAAATGGTTGCGAGAATTAATCAAATGATCACCAAAGAGAAAATGCTTTGTTCTTTTATTAAATTCTATCAACTTATCTGTAAAGGAAATGTATGAATATCAGTTTGGAGAATTTGTATGTGGATGTATTGGGGCTTAAAGGGTTAAAGGCGTTTTCTTTTTAGCCACGTTAACGGATTTTCGCTAACTGAAATAACCATGGTAGGATTTTTTTTTTTCGTTTTGTTTTATCGTTTTCATACCACCCAAGATGGCGTTGGAAAGCGTGGCAAGGTATCTAAATACTTGCTCACTTGGATCTCCGTTTTTGTCATGCTCTAGGGAAGCGACTTTGTATTCATGTTGAGTAGTAAAGCTGGTGGATGTGGTTTGAATCTGATTGGTGCGAACCGACTTGTGATGTTTGATCCTGATTGGAATCCAGCCAATGACGATCAAGCAATGGCCCGTGTGTGGAGAGACGGACAGAAAAAGAAGGTGATTGGACATTTGCCATCAAAAATTGAGTTACAAATTAACTGACATACTGGGGAAAAAAAGTAAAAGTTTCTAAAAATAGAAAAATAGATTAATTTATCTGTGATAAGTAATCGGATACCGGTTCAGACGGTTGCATAGTGATTAAGTGCACTCATTAACTTACATTAAATATGTTTGATCAGTGGTTCTTTAAAGTAATTAAATTCGTGTTTTATGTACTTTTACTCCAGAGGTTGAGTTAATCTTAATGTTATCGCCATTTCAGGTCTTCATTTACAGACTGCTGTCGGTAAGTTTGCATTTCAGCTCATAAAGTAAAAAGTAGCAGAGAATAAAACTAAAACCCAATGTGAATTACGTATGTTGAGTTGTTGAATTTGACATGCAGTTTACTTAACAGGACCAGGTTGTATATACCCTGCGAGGAGAGGCTACATTTTCGCTGTAGGAGCTGGCGTGCGAAAAGTAGCTACTTTTCGCACGCTAGCTGACACAGCGAAAATGTAGCCTCTGCTCGCAGGGTAGGTTGCATAAAACTTTTTTAAGATAAGAGCTCTCTTAACTTTTTGTTCTGGAACAATAACCTATTGTTTTGAAATAATAGTATAGTTACGAGTTCCCTTAACCTTAAAATGTTTTTTGCAACCCGACCCAGGCCTTTAAACAAAGCGTCTCTGTAAAACTTCATTCACTACAGCTGTGCCAATTTTTATATTATTTGTTTTAAACAAATTGACTACAACTACGTTTTGTATTGACTTTCTCTACCCGTCAGATTTCTCAGCAAAGTAGTTGTCTCGCTTTGCGTAAAGCCCGATTTCCTTGTTAGAGATACTTCGAATCATTGTTTTTACGGCAAATAGCTCACAATCAACATCAGATTCAAGGGAGCAATTTCTAAAATTACGAAATGAACTGATAAAAACTGTGTAAAATTCTCATGGATCAACCTGATGTGAAATTACTATTTTTTGAGTACACACATGATAATTAAAGGGCGCTAAGAGACAAGTAACATATCAAGAAAAGGGAATCAAATTCGAAAACAATAGGTTTTGTTTTCTGTTGTTGAAATGGCCATATTTGGTCATTTTTAAAACGGCTAAAATAATGGGACAAGTAAGTGAAAACGTGGTTTCGTGAACGTGAAAGTGAAGGTCAGCATGATTCTAAATATTCCTATCGTTGTTGGTTAATAATTAAACAGCGCCGAGCGGTAAGAGACAAGTGATGCAGCCGTCGACGACGGCTCTTCATCACGTTGTAGATATGCCAATCTCGTTCCCAGAGCCTGTGATCCTTTCCCTCCGCTGGACAAGGGTCAACAAAGGTTCTGGAGAGAAGATTGCAGGCAATATTCATGGCGCCATTTTTACACCAGAATCGACTGAAACAAAAATGGCAACTTTGCAAACGCAAAAATAAAGTAAAGATTCGTTTGTGGTATGAGGGATCAAGTCTATACGTTCGATGCAGACTGCTTCCTATACCATGAAAGAGAATGTGTGAAATTTCTTATATTTGAACTGCGGGAGAAGGTAACACGTGAAACTGTTCATTGCTGTTGCGTACAAATGTACACAGCTACTCTGGAAAATTTTTACGGGTGAACGCTTCCTATCCCGTGCTAGAGTGCCGTAAACGGACAGGATTAAGTTGGTAGCCCTTCTTTCAGTTTGGATGAATGCAATGGTAAAGTGAATGAACACACTTTTCCCTGCCTCCTCCACAAACTGTCCCAAGGCTGGGAAAGGGAGCACGGACTTTAAAAAGGGTGCTGGAGAACAAGCAAGTGGTGCCAGTAGGTGATGATGGGAACGAGCGCGGAGCGAATTCGGGGAGTAACCGGAACAAAAAACAGACACAGGGGAACGCTTCGTCTTTTTTCCCTTCCCAGCTCTCACTTTTGCCCTCGCTTTCCTTAATTATTAACTAAAACATGCCCTAAAATAAGCGATCTCGAGCAACTAGAGAAGAGGCAGCCATTGGCCCCTGAATCACTTTCATGTTCGGGACAATTTTTTTTTCCTTTGTAGACAGGTACTATAGAGGAGAAGATCTTCCAACGGCAGGCTCACAAAAAAGCACTGAGCAGTTGTGTGGTGGACGAAGAGGAGGATGTTGAAAGGCATTTCTCAGTTGGAGAGTTAAAAGACCTCTTTCGTTTGAATGAGGACACAATCAGCGACACTCATGACAAGTAAGTACATGTGCCTTTTATGTTTTGAAGATGGTTTTGTCATCGACTATCCTGCAAAATGTATCGGCTGAGGTTTTCCAGGACCCACCAGTGGCAAATGCAATGTGTGCAATATCAAAGAACAATTGACAATCCAAGATGAACTGTTGCGGCAACAGTTTACAAACTACTAAATGGCTGTAGACTGATGCAATCATGTACATTCCTTGTCTCTAAACCCTAAATCCCTACCCCTATTGCTTTATCTACTCGTAGACGCAAATCTTACGATAAGACAGATAAATGGCGCTCTGGGTCATTTTGCATGTTTAGGCTTCACGTATTCGGCAAACGGCAAACGTCAGATTCAAGGTGAGAATTTCACAAAATAGAAAATGAGCAGATAAAAACAGCTCAAAACAATTCTTATGGATAAAAAATTGCGCGAAGCTACCTAATTTATGTGTTGAAATAATGAACAGTAAAGGGGAAACTTGGTCACGTGGTACAAATTCGCGTTTGCTGTTTGACGTAAACGTGATGCTTAACCTCTCCAGTGACTTGAAAACCTTCACCAGCTGTTACAGGGCTCGTCTTTGTTTTCCGTAGATTCAAATGCCGTCGATGCGTGAACAACAGTCAGGTAAGGCCTCCACCTGATGGGAGTGATTGTAGTGCAGACCTTTCTCAATGGCACCACTCTTCAGACCCAAAAGGACTGGAAGACATACTGTTAAAGGGAGCATGGTCGAGCGGAGTGACATTCGTTTTTCACCACAAATCCCATGACAAACAATTAGGCCTGTGACTGGCCACTAAGAGAATGCTCTATACGCAGGCTAATGCTCTATAATGGTATAGAGACACTTTAATTTTGTTACCGCAATTAATTTTTAAAGGCTTAGCTCACAAGCTTATTGACCAGGGGTATTTGGCTGAAGAGCATTGTAGTCTTAACTACACATTTTACATCCAAAGGTTTAATTGAATAATGAGCTGTCCTCTTCTTCAATAGCTAAGCACTGTGTTAGAACAGACAGGGTCAGGGTTACTGGAGATGTTTGGAAAGGTTATGTGCTCATGAAGTTGCTTACTAGATATAGGAATACAATAAAAACAGTCTTTTAAACATATTTCCCAGTACTGCATTTATCAACAGGTGAATTTCAAAAATATTATTATTGCTATTATTATTATTATCATTGTTAATTATTATTATTCTATTTTACTTTTTTGTGTAGTAAAGGCCATGTTTTTTTATTATTTCTTTAGATAAAAGAATAAAATTTGTATAGGTAATAGCGTGATTAGTAGTGATATTTGCCATAAATACCACAAGACAAAAGTTATATTTCAAATACACGAGTGGTATTTATGCCAAATATCATGTACAAATTATGCTATTATTTGTTTATACTACAACCCGCAAAAGGTTTGTAATTTTTTCATGTAGGTATTTCAAATTAAGCTGAAATACCACTGCTCTAAGCCAATCAAATTGCAGAAATTGTAGTGGTATAAACAATGTAATTTATGTTAGTAAAAATACTGCTAATTTATTGTCTTAATAAAATTTATTTGGTAATGATAAAGTTTACGCAACTTCTGTTAAAGATGATTTGCCATCTCCTGTAAGATGCAAGTCAAGGGTAGTTGATGCAAGAAATGCAGAGAGGTCTTTTTGGAGGTTCAAGGGGTTGAGGTCACAAATGTAATAACAGGTGCTAAATGTAATAAGGGTGCCAGATGCAATACGGAATTGGTGCCAAATGTAATAAGGAATGGGTCACAAGGGTCACTTAATTATATAATAAAGATGGGGGTGGGTCACAAATTTAACTACTGTCGCGTTTCTTGAGTATGATTAGCCTCCCACGCAGGCGTTTTTAGGGGAGCTCGTTTTTCGTCCCTCCTCACAAACGCCTGCTCAACCGGAAACAACATTCCTTTCCCATTGTTTTATTTGCGTGGTAAGTGACCAATAAATAGTTGTGCAATAAAGTGTTGACAGGCTAAACGCGACTAAAACGTGACCCTACAGTTACCGTTTTCCTTCTTTTCTCTCCTTCGTTAAGGTTATGAAGTGCATGGATTATTCTAAAATTTGATTAAATCTTATTTTTTCCGCTCTGAATCTAACATTTATTGGAGGTTAGAAAGTTTTTCCAGTGTTTCATGCAGATCGAGTAATTATCAGATTACCTTGCGGTCAAGGTCAACTTTCCAGAATTTGGAAAGTACCATGTGATTGGCTAAGCCTGGGAAAGGAATGTTGTTTTCGGTTGAGCAGGCGTTTGTGGGGAGGGATGAAAAACGAGCTCCCCTAAAAACGCCTGCGTGGGAGGCTAGAGTATGATAAGTGCTTTAACAGTTTGTCATCGATGACCACAATATTCAATACTAGTATCATTGAGCAATTTTTGTATGACCTTAAAAAATGGTTTCCGTGAGTGTTTGTTATTTGTTTTATCAGCCAATGGATGAAAAGAACAAAACATGGACTCTACGTTTTCCCGCCAAAGAAAACCCTAATATGGAGAAGGCATTATTCGATTGACCAATCGTGTTGTAGTATGACGTCAAAGTAATTTCTAGAAAGTTCTTCGGGCATGACGTTTTTTCAGCCGAGCGTTCGCTTAACCAACCAAAAGCCAGGTGCGTTTGTATCCGTTCGATAAACCAATCAAATCGCTTTATTTTCGTTCCTGTGTTGTTTTTGTTTTGTTTGCGCGTTTTCACTTCAAGGTCATACGAAAATCGCTCTATTAATTTGTAAAATCAAGCCCCATAACTCATAAACACCAGTTTTCTTTGATACATAGTCAGGCATAGAAATTTTTTGCTTTGGGTAAAAAAAAGCTTTATTTAAGTACTACAACTTAAGTTTCCGGAATTTCACAGTTAACGGTAATTAAAGAACTGAACAATCAGGAACTTTTTCTCATTTGCTTAGGAACGCGTTGCACGGAACGGGTATTAGCTCATCCCCTAGCGAAAGTTTATTTGTCTAAACAATGTCCTGCCATCTTGCATGTTTGCCATGAATCTTCAAATTGACCCTTGTTGCGATTGCAAAATTAATTACAGTTGTGAGCAACCCTTCTATCATTTGTGCCTGTGTTACATTTTTATGATAGTCTTCTCTCCACCAGTGTTCGCAGGCTACATTTGTGACCAATGACTTAAAACAAAAGTGATCCTTATTACTGTGTACATTTGTAACCTTCTCCTTATTACATGTTGCATCAATTTCTAGTAACATTGTATGTGAACCGTCATTACATTCGCACCAATTTTGTATCGCATTTGGCACCCTTCTTGCATTTGGCACCAATTATTACATTTGTGATCTCAACAGGGATTATTCTTTCACTATGTTAATTTGAAAATTGTAAAATCAACGCTGTTATTTTAAGAGTCTTTACTGACGTTTCGGCAATGCTGCCTTCTTCAGGGTAGAAGACTAAATACCGTTAAAAAGTTCGCTAAAATTAGTACACGTGCCCAGTTGCATACTCACGCGAGTGCCACATGAAAAAGTGTGCGCCGGCGCGCGAGTAAGCAAAAAAAGAGTGATTCACGTGAAACTAAAGTCTTGATTAAAGCCACTAGGACCCAGAGTCCCATATTTGGAAATCAACCTCATCCCCTGCTTCTTATGGTATTCCTGGTTGGCTAGGCTTGCCTCCAATACAACAACCTTCGTGCCCTCTAGTGTATGATTGGTTTGGTTGAAGTGGGCAGGTACAGGAAGGTCATTCCTTCCGTTGATGGCATCTCACGGTGCTCTCTAAAGCGGTCCGCCAACCTGCGTCCCGTCTCCCCAGTGTCCACTGTTGATGGATATTCTTTCACTACATTGTTATCCTTCATGGCACGATGGTTGACATCTTAGAATCAATGATACTCTTCTGTCTCTTGGTACAACCTGTCCTTTCCAAACAGATTCATCCTCACTTAATATTTCATGTGTGAACTGGTATCTTACAGCATCCCTGAAAATTTGAACAAAAAAATATATAGTCCAGCAGGTGAACTACTCAAATCCTGAGTGCATGGGCGTTTAATACAAACTTGTTTCGTAGGCCACCGAAAAGGTGACCCACTCATCAGTTAAACGCCATTACAACACTGGAGTGTTAAGGTCTACATCAACAATATAATCTCTTGATGAAAACGGTTACACATAACGTTTGAAATTTAAATTTTAAAAAAATTTTAGACTGAAAAGTGCGCCCTTGCTCTTAATCGCCTACAACTCTTATACAAAACCTAAGTCACAGTAAATGCTTGCGCTAAAATCTCTGGCTTTGACATGTTCAATTGTAACTTAGGATGAACTTGCGTCGATGTCTACATTATTGTAGACATTCATTTTCACAATCGTTTTCAGGGGGAAAGTTTCCCAGTGTCATGTAAACACCCCCTGAGATTCAAAATGATTAGTTCATTTCTTTCGTTTTATTCCGCTCAGCCTCAGGGTCAAGAATGAACTTTGATGAATTCAAAACTGGCCTATGAAACAGAAAATGAAACATTTCCTTTAAAGAATTAGTTCAATGAGAGAATTTAATAAAAGATCAAAGCATTTTCCCTGATCATTTTATTACTTCTCATTACCTTTCCTCTGGGTGATGTAAAGGTCATGTTACTTAAAGGGTTAACATACATGTATACCTTATAATATAAAGTGATCTTGGCTGGAGAAGAGCATCCACCTTGACATTAGAAAATTTTTCATGTTTAAATCGCATAACTGATGGGGAAAGGAGGCTAATGCCAGATATTACATCTCCACAAAACTGAAACAAAAACAAGTCCAAAACAAACAAAATTAATCAACCTTAGAACTTATGTACTTTCATCCCTTTCTTTGGCCAGTACCTCTGTGGATATGATCATAATATTAAACTGCTACACTGTGGGCTTTACCACAAATTGCTCAGCAAAAAATATCTTTGAGTTCCCAACAGGATTCGAAACAACGACCTCCTGAACAGCAGGCAGATGCTCTATAGGCAAATCTTTGCTGATGTCGCTGTTTACATTTTTGCTCATTACCATGTCAGTTGACCCATAGAAGATGTCTCCTTATGTACAAATTAAGTTCGAAAGTCAAATGAACTGCATAATTTTAGGAGTTTGCCCAATTTTCTGCTCTTTGCATTCAATTACAAATGGAATATCAGTAATCCAGTTTAAAGTTGTGGGGTGGCAAAAACGTGAACCAATAGGGTTTTTCAAGAGAATTTCTTCGAAACTACTGTATTTTGGCCCAAATTTGTCAGAGATAAGTGAAATTGTTATGCTCTTTAAATATTATTCAGAGATTATATTTTATTAGCATTACAACTGTATCAGATAATGATGAGCATATGTTAATGAGATGAGGCAAAAAATGTAAACGAAGATTGATTCTCCTATCCAAAGAGATGAGGAGAGACCCATGGAGAGCCAGGCCATATTGTACTAAGATCGTATTTGATACACATCAACATTACTATACTGCTACGAATAGTAAGAGCCGTTTTAAATCTTGAAACACTATGTTCTGTTCAGTTGATAAGGGGAATAAAAATACGTCATGGTTGCATTTTTTTGGACTAATAAGAGCTATTTATCTACTACCTCAAATCCACTGGTAAACTTTCAGACACATGATGTATACTAATCCCTGCTGGTATAAAAGATTATAAAATTACGTTTTTTTTTTTTGGTTTTGTTTTGTTTTGTTTTGTCTTTTTACATACCTTTACACTGTCCACATGTGGTTTAATATGCCTAAAATGTTTAATGAAATGACTCTCAGTACATTGCTGTTTATTTACTTATTTATTTATTCAATTTTTTTTCTTTTTATATACAACTCAAAATGGCACTTAAAGAGAATGAGCCAAGGAACATTAATATTGCAATTACCAAGTAATACTATTTTGTTGTTGCATGAACATGTACAAGTACATTTAGCTGCTATCAATCATGTGACAGACTTAAAACAAAAACTGTTCTCTCAAGCAAAATACCATACAGGTAAAAAAAGATACATGTAATATTCTTAAAACTTCTGATGAACAGGTACATGTAATCAGAAAAAAATCTGGTGAGGTCTGAGATTGAATCCAGTTTTCTGGCACTTCCATTTACTTTCTCTTGATGAATAAGCTATATACTGTACACTGTATGTTGCTTTTGTTTTTGTTTTTGTTTTTTTTTTTAAATTAATTAATTTACTGATTAATTACCATAGACTTCTGATTTTAAGCTCTCCCCCCATTTATAGGCCCATATACCTGTAAACATCTGGTATAATATAAGCCCAACCTCCCCCAATATAGCACTGCTATGCAGCTCAGCTTTTTTTCTTTGAAACACTCTTTTTACTCCAGTTATAAGCTGTCCCAAAAACCCTGTAATCCCAGGTCCCAAACCCCTTATGAAGTTGTATAAGCCTGGGCTTATAATCAGAAGTTTACGGTTCTATGATTATCATTATTTTACTTTTATTTATTTATTTATTTTATTTATTTATTATTGTTACTATTTTTTTATTTTCATTTTATTATTATTATTATTATTATTATTATTATTATTATAATTATTATTATTATTATTATTTTACAGTTAATTGTAGCATTCAAATCTGGTAATTGTACATACCCTGTTTTTGCTAAATCCAACACATGAACATGAGGTAGCAGTTTTAACTCAGGGTTAAATGCTACATCTCTGATTCTCTGAAATATAGACAAGCACTCTTGACTCCATCTTGATTTCTCTGTTTCCCTGTAACCATGGATTGCCTGTTATGACAATGAGGACCAGGTATTAAAATAATAATCATTATGTAAACTGTTTATGGTGGAATCCCACCACGCGGACACCCATATACATGTATAATGGACAGTTTTGTTTGTCCCAACGAAAAGCTCATAATTATATTTCCTCTCAAAATTAACCCGCTTTATAAGCACGATGATTAACATGGAGAACGAACACTTTGTAGTGTCCTGAGTAACAAACTCTCTTCTATCATATACCTTGCTTCACAGACACTGGTTACCTGTGCATTGTCTATTTCCTTTGTCACAATCATGTGCTAAATTGTAGACATTGTACTGAGTTAAAATGATGACAGATATCTATCAGTTAATTTGATTTAATTACTTAAAAACAGTAACAAAATAGCGTGACAAGTTTGAAGTCTGTCTTTTTACCAGTGTTTGACCCTTGTAATAAAGCCCTTAAAAAGGCTGAGTTTTGTTTATTTATTTATTTCTATTTTTTTTTTTTACCTTCTACTACATACAGTAAGTCTGACTTCCTTGGTGTTATGCTTCAGTCTTTGTGTCCAAGACATTTTTTGTTTTTTGTTTTTGTGTGTGTGTGTGCGTGTGGTTTTTTTCTGAGAGCCCACTTAATATGAACACCTGGATAAAACAGACACTATGGTGCATCCCCTCAGTGTCCTTATAAACCGGGTTCCATTGTACAAGGAACTTGCTGCCAGTTAAATGGGTGTTTTCAAAATGGACATAATATGACTGCACAGTGTGGTAGTTTTCACAAATTCAACCAATGACCACTGCAAACTGTGGAGTTCTCAGGAGCCCAGTGGCTAAAGAATTCAGTGACAAAGTGGTGTACAGAGGGCCTTGGGTTTAATTCCATCTGGCTCCACACATTACTTTATTATATAGTATTTCTTTAGACTCCACTATGCAGTTACAGCTGCAAATGCAGAAAATCACAGACTGTGTCAATTTTAATTGATATAGTCTGCATGATTCAGTAATTGGTCAGCCCACTGTTAATTAACCAGCTCACCACTACTTTCACTGTAGCTCAGTGGTTAGAGGATCAGTCTAACTAGAGCATGGAAGGTACTGGTAGAGGTTATCGTTCACATCTGGAAGTTGGATTTTGTTGTTGTTTTTGTTTGCTTGTTTCTTCTCTTCACAAAAATCACTCTAATTGCAACACTATTTTCACTTGCATTAACACCTACCATTTCATTTGAATGATTTTTTTTTTTGTGATTTGGGGAGTTTTGGATAAGGTTATTGTAGTAAGTATTTCCGTGATGTTTTTTGTTTGTTTGTTTTTAGGTTTAATTATGGATTTTTAAAAGCCAGGGGCCATAGGCTTTTTTGCCTATTGTGCCCTCACAATCTCAGGTTACTGACTTCGATATGCAGGGTTGTCAGAAAGTCTTGGAAGTAGATGGCTGCATTGTCAAAGTAAGTGGCCAGTCCAGGGATATTTTATTTAAAAAACACCATTCGTAAAGAAATGCCAAGCAGAGCAGGGTGCAAAGAAAATCATTCTTACAGCTTGCCATTCAGGCAAGCTAAAGCTAGCATTTACTAGCCCAGATGTCATTTCAACTAGCCCCCAAAATGTTTTGACTAGCAAAATTGATTTCACAGTTCTATGTGATTTGAATTCCTCAAGTTAAAAGCAGAATTCACTAGCCCCATAGCAAAATCCACTAGCCCCAGGCTATTGAACACTACTTTTTTTGCACGCTGCAGAGTAGCCGGCCAATACTAACCAAGTAGCCAGCAGCCAGCTACTTTTGACAACCCTGGTATATGTTGTAGTTATTTTTTATCTCAGGTAATTTTTGTTTTTCTTTTGTTTGGGGGTATGGTTAAGTATGCTAATGAAGTTGAAACAAAAGAAAAGGAAAAATTAGTATGTGTAATCAAATGGTGACGAGTGAAATTAGGGAATAATTTCACACGCGTTTTGTCCAAATCCTAATAATTTCCCGAGCCTTCAGGCAAGGGAAATTATTAGGATTTGGACAAAACGCAAGTGAAATTATTCCCTAATTTCACGAGTATACCATTTGATTACCTATTAATATCATGGGTGTCGAATTACATTAGTAATCTTGAATTTTTGACATGTTTATCCTGGAACATATCGATCGAGAACTCCACTCTCTCAAATGTTTAGACCTTAAATCAGACCTTAAATTTGGCTTATAAAGTTCAGAAGTTTTCAGACTTTTCGGCAAAATACCTGTTAGAATCCTTCTTGATGTTCCCTTGTGTGTTCAGGTTTTCTAAAGCATCTTTTTGAGCCCTGACATCTTCATTCACCACACATTTTAAAACTTCATCGCCATCTTGATACTGAGACGTACGGCAGGGTTGCCATGGCAATTTTGTAATTTCCCATGTGAAATTACAAATTAATGCTGAAATTTCGCTCCAAAATTAAGGGGTAATTCGTCACCTATGATATTACCCGAGATAAAAAATTAACTACAACATATATTTGCATTTGTGACAATGATGTTTGCATGATTTTATTTAGAATAATTTCATGTAATAACACCCTTACTGTAGCATAAAACCTATCATTTTCACGATGAAGTGTGTTAAACAATGAGGAAAACCCCTTGGGTAATGTTATAAACAATAATTGTTATTGGATGAGGTTTTAGTGATCTGCGGAATAATCAAGGTCGAGGTAAGTGTTATCAGCCAACCTGAAGGACGAGGCTGATAACACTAACCGAGACCTTGATTATTTAGGATATTGCAAAAACCGAAGCTAATAATTGTTTTATTATACATTGTTTTGAAGAAAGTAATGACAAACACATTGTCGCAAGGAACCTGAATTGACACTGTTATTGGAAATTTAACCATGCATTGCATGCACAACCTACAAATAAGTCAGTTATCTGCTAGTAGATAACTAGATAATCTGTAGGTTGCCTTGACTTCCAAAATAAGCTGTAGGCTCTTAGCCAACGAGAAGACAGATAGTGAGCACAATGTATTATAATAATGTTAATTCAGTAAGATGTAATGTTAGCTTAAAGTAAGTTAAAATTGCTGAATCAACCGAATCGTCAAGTTATTTATAATATTATTACAGGTTTTTTGGTAATAGTGATGAGAGACCAAAGACAATTATACTCACGTCATCCCAGTGATCATACTGATACTTTTGCCTTTTCAAATATGGTTCGACCTCCTTAAGAAGTAAACCTTCCTCCTCTTCAGAGACAAAGTTCTCACGAATTTCCAAATTTCCACTGACCAAATCTTGAACCTTCTCAAGCTCTTCTATACTGCAACCGTCCGTTATGAAAGAGATCCTGGCCTCCTCTTCTCTGAGTACAGGGGCTCTACTTGATAAATACCTCGTCAAATATCGCAGAGATTTGGCATTTAAAGCAGAAAGGCGCGAAGAAAAAAGTGATCTGCACAAAAGTATGGCACCCTTGTCCGCCATCTTGGATCTTGTTTTAAAGCCGCTGTCGCCAAGGATCAAGGCTCATGATCGTTTTGGGTCACATGATTTTTTCGGCCTATATAAGGAAGCAGTTTCGCGGGAAGGAAACGAAGCGGGAATTTTTAAAGATGGAGGCAGCAACGGCAGAGGAAAGGTTTGTAGTCGTTGTAGATTCTACTGTTTTACATTATATCAAGACGATATTTGATCATTGAAGTCCCATATTTTATTTGGACAGCTAGTTATTGGCTTGTAGAGGAGCTGGGGAAAAATCTAGACCTTTGTAGATCCCTTTTTACAAACATTCATCAATCGATTTTCAAGGATGTGCTTTTAAAAGCTTTAATTATCTCCAGATGCATTTGATTTCTCAAACGTATAGTAGATCATCGGCAGTTTTCTCAGCGTATTTGATTAGCACAACCGAGAGGTTAGAAATGCATTTAAAAAAGTCTTTTTAAGTGGAAATACAGTACGCTTGATTTAAAAATCCAGATTTAAAAATCCATTTAACGGTTGAAATTACTAACGGAATGCAATGTTGTTCTCTTTTGCAGGAAGGCTAATGGCTTCTGTAGGTAAGCCAGTTTAAAATATTTCATGAATTTAAGACGGTCTTATTTCCCTCTAATCGTGAAAGGTATTGGTTGTGGAGTTTTGCTCTTTTAGAATTGAAGATCTCTGTCAAACATCGCATGAGATTGATGGCAAAACTTGTGTTACCTAATCTTTATTGCATAAATTAATACCTTATGTTTTTCTTTACCAGCCCCACAGGAACATTATACACACTTGCTTGCCCTTCACATCAGGAGAAAGTGTTTTTATCAATGCTCTCGCTCCTTGCGCCAGGGGGAGACCCTAGGGAGTTTTGACATCTTTACTCGGAAATGATCGAACTCCAACCATTTCCACCCCCTGGGATTTTCCTAGGCTATCACAACTGTCACTGAGCCAAAAGAAGATTCATTAATAAGGACACCTGATCATGTAATAAAGGACCTCAAACACTTAACTGGACAAATCCTGAAATCAATAGCGGAATTTCCTTAGCCTAAATATCATATCTAGAGATCCCTAGGGCTCCAGTGGTTGTTATTAAACAGCTTTCACTAACTTGCTTATTGTTTCTCTCAGGTACTATATACGTGGAGAGTGTAGGGAAGGAGACAACTGTCGATTCTCTCATGACAACAAAGATGTCCCGGTAAGCATAATCTCTCACCCTGTGTAAATTAGATTCAGTAACATAACTGTGGAGAAATATGACCTTCAATTTTCATGGAATCAGGTGGAACATTGCAATAATCTACACATGGATTTAACAGTTCCATTAATAACATGCAGTTTCTGACTTTTTTTTTTTGGTTTTTCTATAAAAAATAAAATAATGTGGCAATGATTTTGAAAATTATGGGGAAAGTCGAAAAGTGTGTTACATTATTGTACTTGTTGTTTCTTCTTAAGCCACCCAAAGTTTGGTAAATAAATAATGCTACCATAGATGAAAGACCTATCTGCCTGTCAATCTGTCTTTCTCTGTGTTTCTTATTTGAGATCTGTCCCAAAGTTAATAGATTGTCTAAAGCTAAATTCCCATACTTGATAAGGTTTGCCACTATTACCAAGAAGGACGTTGTCTATTTGGCAAGGATTGCTGGTACAATCATCCTGATGAGCAACAGTTTATGTAAGTTGACCTAATGATAATATTATTGAGATTTGAAACTTTTAAGGGTTCCACACAAAACTGAGGAGGAGAAATTTTTAGCCCACTGAATTATCGATGTATCGTCCACTAGAAACAGTAAACTCAAATATGGGCCCATCCACTAAAAAATATCCTACCACCTTGGCCAAAAAGTAAATAGTAAGGATACAAGGAAAACCTGTGTGTATTTTCATTTTATCTATGTTATGAATATCTCTTAACCTTCAAATACACTGTCACCTGCAAATATGAGAGAACAGAGAGGACAGTTCCTGCTTTAGCTTTTAAACTTGGAAAGCACAGAACAATCAATACAAATTTTTGACATGAAGTTTTATTTTATTACTTGTCTGCAGGCCACCCATTTATCCATCTTTAACTGTTCTTGGTAAGTGGCACAATACCATAAGCCTAGAGTGTATATATATATATATATATAATTTTTGTAATTTGTATGAAATTCTGACAGGTGGACTTTTAATGGGATTAATGGGCATATGGAAAATTGGTGATGGCAGTCATGAGTTGATGGAAAGAGTTTCTTCAGACAGAATTTCCGTAATAACATTAAAGAGGTTTAAGAAATATTACATAAGGTACCCTTCATTACGACTACCTGATAAATGTGATTACCTTCCTATTAAAATGATGCAATTCTTTAAGACCAAAATTATAAGGAAAACACTCATTTTGTTAGTTGCATTGTACACATTGTAGCCCTGTTGTAGTCTTCAATATAATGGTTAAATTTTTTGCTGAAACCTGTAAGCATTATTAGTAGTGCCTTCCTCATTGGTGTGATGATCAACACTGACTTTTTAACACTCTAGGTTTGAAAATCACGTGCATATTTTACTGCAGACTGTCCTTGATCCATACATTTAATAAAAGAGGAGAATTTCTTTAAATTCAACAATATAATGTTACACATGTATCTTTGATAATCTTTTCTTATATTTTTCTTAAATGTCATCTTTAATTAATCAATTATTTACGAAAGTAATATGTTTTCCATTAATGGGTCTAAACTGGTTACAGTCATTATAGTGCTGGGTAATTATTGCATTCCACTGACGAACTGAGATGGCCACACCCCTTATCATTGCTGGGACTGTGCTGCTGGGAATACTGTAAACACCAAAATGTTAACTAATTATATCAAATCCTTAGAAGGTGGAAGAAAAAAACTGAACAATATCTCTGACTAACTGCACTACCTGAATTACTATCAAGGGAGATAAAATAGTCAGTCAAGGTGGATAATTCTTTAAATATGGTTTAATTGATTTTGTCGTTGTCTTTGTTTTTTTGCTTGTTTGTTTTGTTTATCTTCTCTGTTTTGATTGTTTGTTTGTTTCAAGGGAAAGTATACTAACTCACTGAAGATTTGTAAGGGGTGTGGTGGGGAGGGTACAAGTAAAACCAAATGAAGGAGATCCATAGATGGGATTTTCTGGAAAATGCATTTGTGCCCTACGTATAAAGACATTGTTTAAATATTTCTTATTTCTATTTTTTTGTATTATCATTTTTTCAATTTATCATCATTTCTTGTCAGATATTGGTCTTGTGCAACCTGCAGGCAATCTAAACCTCCTGCTAGCTGCTGCAGTCGCAGGAGTTCAGACCGATGATGACGATGATGATAGCAGTAGTGACGATGAGGGTGATCGAGAGTGTCTGACACTTGATAAAGCCATGGAGCTCTGGATGAAACACAAGACACAACAAAACGGTAAGATTACTCACTTTATAATTTGATACAAAGCCTGGATATATTAACACTGGCCTCCATCAGAAAAAATGGCCACATAACTTAAGAAAGATGGACACACAGTGACATGGCTGTTGTAACTGCTTAGACTTTCAACCTGTAAACTGAAAGGTCAGTAGTCTGGAGGGGCGCTGTTGCATAAGCTTCTGTGTTGCTTCTTTCACCCTTCTGTAGAAATGTATACTCTTAAGCGTCCCTTTTTGGTGAAGTTAAGAACAAAATCTTTTGTGACAAAATGCCTTTTTTCACTCGAAAACTAAAATAAAAGCCAGTTCAGAAATTGTCCCCCCAACGAGATTTTGCTCAGGCACTTCATTACTGTAACAGTTTCTTTTCCTTTTTTCCCACTTTTTTCAACTAATTTCCCCTTCTTTTTAGTGGCTATCTATGGTAGAATCATATGGCTATCAGTGTTCAGTGTGTGTCTCTCAAAATAGCGATAACAAAGAACTTCTCAGAATTATTTTCACAGCAAATTGAATTCAATTCTTTTCCCGGGGAAGGGGGAGACGAGGCCGGCCCCATCTTGGCCTTACTTTACTCTCTTTCCACTCACCTGTTGCAGTCGAAAAACGCAAAGTGAGAGTTGTTTCAATGTGAAGTTGCGATCCATGTTCTTATTTCAGTAACCTGCTATTTTCTTAGAGAGTAAGTTGTCCAATGAAGACCAAGCAGAAATTGAAAGCGACGGTGACGAGTCCAGCGCGGAATATGATTTTCTTGAAAGACAAACCCACGAGTTTTTTCACGACCTCAAAAAATACGATATGACGACATGGGAGATGGAATCAGTGTACAAGCTCATCTCAAGTCTCACTGATCTTCACATTATAGAGTTTGATGATTTCAACATCACATTAAGCATGATCTTTGGAGAAACTATTCGGCACTGGCGTCCCGAGCCAAGCCTCACTGCAGAGCTGTTTTTGAGGTATCTGCAACTGATCTAAGAATCCCTGAAACCCCTAATATCAAATGACATATTCTCCCTACCGCTCTCCATACATTTCCTGTGGTACTTATGAGAAGAATTTGTTTAACAGTCAAGAGCTTCTTGTTTCGTCATCATGAAAGAAAGACCGCCCTTATACCTTATGGAACTTAACAATAGCGAAGAAATTACTTGTAAATGATAAGTCCGATGGAGCTTTAACTTGCGTTAAGTTTGCGAACAAATCATATGCCAGTAGTAAAACCAAACCGATTAAAGTGCCAACCTTTATGAAAATCCAGTTGCTGGATGAGAAACTGCTCTCCTGGGTATAAAGTTTCAGTCACAAACGACACTGCGCGTTCTTTTAACTCAAATTCTATGTGGAAAGGAGGAATAACTAACGGTAAAGGCAATAGAGGATAATGGTCTTCAAACCGTTCAGCTGATAAAGTTTACATAGTTGTATCCATCATCTGAACACAATTTTAACATCGTTGTGAGAAATATCTCTATATTTATCTTATGAAAACGTATTTTTTTGTTGCTGTTTTAGAATCTCTGAGAAAGATGACGCGGACCTTTCAAGCTTGATTCTAACCCTCTGCAATGCTCCATCGAAAGTCAAATTCCTTGAGAGTCACGTGGCTTCCATTCTAACAGCCGCACAAAGGAAATTCCCAAAAGAGTGGACTCCAGAAGCCATAGGAAAGCTCCTACAGGGTGTAGAAGATAATGGGTTCAATATCGACGCCACTGAGGTGTTCCACCGTATGGGCAAGGAACTTGATGACCCAGAAACCCTCGGGAAACTAGTGAGGAATTACCTTTTGGTAAACGCAGAGAAGGACTCGTTCAGCTGCAGATGTAAGACGGCTGAATGCGAGTGCCCCGCTTATGTGGATGAAGGAATTGCTTTTATTGTGTTTGCTGGATTGGAGAGGAAGATGAACTGGAATGAAGAAAGCAAACTAAAGTTTTTCAGAATCGCTACTGATACATTATGGGCACCTGATGTTTTAACTGAACTGGGTAATTTTTGTGTGTGCCTCCCTTTGTTTGTACAAAAGTGTCTAAACCGTAAGGTGGCTCGATAGGGTTTTTCAGGGGCAATATCTCCCAAGTTTGTGCATTAAGTACGTCGCCATCAACAACGATTTGGAGAAATTAACACTACAACTGTATCAGATAGAGATGAAAATTCGTTATGATCAATGTAACAAAAGTGTCTAAACCGTAAGGTGGCTCGATAGGGTTTTTCAGGGGCAATATCTCCCAAGTTTGAGCATTAACTACGTCGCCATCAACAAAGATTTGGAGAAATGAACACCACAACTGTATCAGATAGAGATGAAAATTCGTTATGATCAATGTGACGTCGGAGTTGTCATGGAAACGAAATGAAAACCGCTTGATAGATTTTTTTTTTTAATTTAAGATTCTAGAGATCGCTTGAGATTGCCAACAATGCATTGTACAATGATGTTAGCTTTTTGTTATCCACGAAAAAAATGAAATACCTCGGTGGCGAATTTAGTGGGGCCCGTTTCTCCAAACGCCCGTTAACTTTTCGGGTCCGGAAGCAATTTTTCAGAAATCAAAACCTGTTAAATAGTTCACAAGCCGGTTAATTTTGCCTCGTTAATTGAAACCTTGTTTCATTTTTAAATGACTATTGAAAAGTTATCGGTTTGTCGGAATTTTAGAAAAACGGGCCAAGAACTTTTGAAGACCACAGCTGTACATACATAACTCGTTTGTCATTTGATTTACACAATAGGTGAGCTTTTTAACATCAAAGATCCCCTGAAAGTCTGTCATCCCAGAGTCGACAAACGCCTGAACTGCAACGCTAAAGAATTTGTTATATCTGAAGACCAAACTGCTGGCGATAAAGTGCACATGAAACCCAACAACAACAACAGCAGGAAGTGTAAAGGAGTGAGATGCTCAAATCAACCTAAAAGAGGCTGTGATTTCGACATGTGCGGACGCTGCTGTAAGAAGATTTCAGAGCCGTGTTCCGTTCATGAGGATTTCAGCGTATTTGAACCGCCGGTTTTTCATAGAAATTACAGCTTGATGAAGATCGAACCCAAAAGATTTTTCAGGTTTGTTTTAGAATCTTTTTACAGCAATTGTCACACCACCACTTTACTAAACTTGGGCGTATTTACTAAAACCAAACCCTCCAGATTATCATAATACAGGATCTCATCCATCCATCTCACCTCATTTTTTTACTTATTAATAATTGACCATAAAAAGTAAAAGTTTTATTATTATTATTATTATTATTATTATTATTATTATTATTATTATTATTATTATTATTATTATTATTATTATTATTATTATTATTATTATTATCATTTTTTTATTCTTCATTTTGAACAAATTAACCAACTCGAAGTTATTAATTTAATTCCTGGGTTTAAAACATATATCTTCCTTTTACAGCTCCAGAGCCGATTTGGATAACATCTTAAGTCTGCCCACGCCCTTCAAAAGCGTAACATTTGGTTCAGATTTCTCAGTACGCGATGATGACGTCATCAAAGCGGTTGACCTATGCAAGGGCATTCTGGTAGTCCTTGAACTCGGTTCTTCAAACACAGGAGCTGGCGTGTGGCTGTCAGATACGGCCGTCCACCACATTGCTGACAACTGTCCTAACCTGCGTAAACTCCGTTTGGAGTCAGTCACTGGAGTGACAGACGCCGCCGTGAGTGACGTCATGATGAAGTGCCCGCTGCTGGAAGAACTTGAGGTCAGCGGCCATGATCGTAGCTCCGGATCTCTGACCGATGAATGTATTAAGCGCTTGTTTGATTTGAGTGTGTTACCCAAGCTGAAGGGTTTGATCATTACTGATCAACTACGCGTGCGTCATGATGTCGTGTACCGTCTGCGCAGGCGTAGACCTAATTTGAAGATAATCGCGGGTGAGACGGATAGCGATAGTTTTGCGCACTCGATGGTGCTATCCATGTGTGGATTGGATTATGGTGATGGACTGTACTAGCCGGTAGTAAATGAAGATCGTCTCACTTTCAGAGAAAATATGTATAAAAAAACTCTCCAACTACCTTAGTACTAAAAAACGTCACGATAGACAAACAAAGTTGACGAACAACGCTACTTGTAGATGTGTCGATTTATATAATAAACTGCTTTATTCAACGTCAGTGCCTTATAGAGAACTCGCCAATGATTTTGTTAGTGTGATTAGGTAATGAGCATTTCAGATTAAAAAAAAGAGCAATGCTTTTGTCAAAGTGACTTTATTGTAAAAAGTGCCATTGAACATCATCCTGTGAATGTCATCAATCATAGGCCATTGTAAGGTTGCCCTTGAGACTGGGTTAGGGTTAGGGTTTTAGGGAGCAAATTTTCACCAAGTTTCCCGCACAGCCCCGAAATAGAAAATGATTAACAATTATTCCACGAGTGCGCGTTAGATATGAGATGGTAGCGTCGAGTTGGCTATAATCATCTCATATCCAACAAGGGCGGGTGGAATATTTGTTTTATTAAAAGCGCCCACAAAATATGGATAATTCTTCCCGACTTTATTTGTAAAAACAACTGATTTTCAGTTTGTATTTAATTTTGAGCAGACGCGTACAGTTACCATATTTGGAGAGCATGGTATATTGGCTCATATACCATGATGGCTAAGCCAATCAGAGCTTTAGCAATGCATTATCCAGTGATTCAGTTTTTTGATAGTGCATAGTGCAATTTGAAACAACATAACGACCCTGTCTCAAGTCTGGCCTTCCTTTGCTGCACACGGTAAAAGAGAAATTTTATAATCCAATAATTAAAGGTAGATTTTTTGGATATATTAGAGTGCTCCTCGTGCTTATAAATTATAAGATTAGTTCCGACAGAAGCTGGTTTCGCAGTTTACATTTCGTTATTGGTCACCTTGAGGAAAGGTTCACGGAGAGCATCGAGTAAAGCTCTGAGATGGGACAAAGTTATTACGATTCGCAGAGTCTGTATCGGCCAATATCTTATTGTATTCTCGTTTCATTTGGCTAAACGGATCAATCACCCAGAGCCGAGCTGAGACAGAAAGGTAGGATATTGTTCGCGAATCTTAGGTGACCACTAAGTCTTTGGCCTTGGGAACAGGCTCTTAGGAGTCAAATTAATTAGGCGAGAGCAACATTGCAGGTGAACTTTGACCCGGGCCAGTATTTTTCTGGTGTGAAAACTGGGTCTATGCTGGCAGGTAATCGGCTCCTGATGCTGGTGTGCCGACCGTGTGAGTGTACATCCCGGAACTTGAATAAGACGAGTGTAAGGGAAAAGTCCAGAGGTATTTATCTGCCAATAGGCTGAGTTTTTCCGAGTTATTTGATGATATTTCTCTTGTGTTAAACTTCAGAAGATTATGCGTGGTTGTGGATAGTCTTGTCAGTGTCGAGAAAGTGCGTGATTTCCAACTGGTGTTGACAGGCAGAACTCAGGTATGTGGTCGCGTGGTTGAGCTGTTGCACCAAAATGTTCTGTGCCAGCCATAGAAACGTTTCGTCGGTGTTTAGCTTAGCTGATTGTGTCTTGTTGGAAAACCAACTCTCGACTCAGAAAAATTGGATCTACGTCTAGTTTTAGCGGACTCTTGGATTTGAATCATAGGCCGGTTCAGTTTGCAGATAACTGAAGGTGTAGCCTGAGTAACAGGCCTTCCTAAGAGGCTAGGGGAGAGGAGATTTTAGATGGGGGAGGGGGGAGGGGGAAGAAGAGAAAGTTCTTCAGTTCTCTCCCTTTTTCGCTTCCATCTTTCCACTTTTCCCCCAGAAACGCCTGATACTCAGGCTAAAGAAGGTGATAATTTGTGTACTATGTTGCAATCAGTGTGTTGTCTATTCCATGCGAAATTCTGTCGTTTATCGGACCGCGAAAAAAGCGATGTTCTGCTAATTATTTAAGTTGTTATGTAAGCCTTAGCCAGGCACTTTTTGGCTGCAATTTCTAGACTGAAATGACACCGGTTTGAAACTTCACGAAGTCAGATTACTGAAAAAATGTTCTAAAATTTGCGTCATTTTAAATTTGGACTCGCTGAAATGCTTCTAGGGACCACTAACTTACTGCCCGGCGTCAGATTTTTTGGACCATTGGGAATTGGCGCTCTATAAATATTGTATATTAGTATTATTAGTTCTCGGCTTGCACTGTCACGCAATGAAAAATAAAAATGTAAACCATTCAATACAGAAGGACTAGAATCTGGGAAATGAAAAAAGATAAATATACAAAAACCCTTGCCAAGAATCAGGGCTGTGAAATATTTCAAATGCGAGATATTGGGAAAAACGGTTTACCTAAATTTATAAGGCTTTGTATGGAAACGCCATGTTGGTGTCCCTTTCAGGAACACCAATATGGCCGCTGGATACCAACAGAAACATCTGTTTTCGAGTTTTCCTACTAATGAGTGAATTCCTCGCTTGAGGAACTCATAAAGATTACAGTAATATATAGATTTAGCCAGGGCTAAAAGCGAGGCTCCCATTAGTAAATTTATAATTTAAATTAAACAATAAACTTGTATTCGAATTCCACAATTCAGTTAACTTTAGAGCACATTTATGTGACTTTTGAGGGAAAGGCTACCTGATTTTAGAGAAAAATAATTTGCAAACAGCCCAAGAGTGAACCAAATCTTACATCGAGTTGATAGCCTCATATGTACACTCAAAAACTGGTAATCATCTTTTATCACATTTAAGAGCCGTAATGGCTATTGATCGCCGTAGATCAATTAGGCTTAGAAAAAAAACCAGGCCAACGTTTTGGCGTTCGACAAGTTTACTTTGCAAAATCTTGCCAACAAATCTGGGTGCGTGTAAACCAACCTTTTATACCATGGACAGAAAGCAGTATTTCACAATACAAATTGCTCTCATTTAATATTCATAAACTGTTAAAAAAATTTTCCAAAATCACCTATACGGCCATCCGGTTCTCACTTTTGTAGTGCGAGCTGTAGCGAGTGTTTGAATGAACATTAACAGAGTTACGCTCCAAGATAATAAAGAATTTATCATGTTTATTTTTTATTTGATGGTTTAACGCGCGGCATTTTGAGAACTCCTGCAAGCGATGTTCACTGAACGACTGAAAACAATCGGCATAGCGATTAAAATTGCAAGAGAGACTACTAACAATCAATAAAAGAAATATAATTCGGGGAAACATAAACAGAGACAACAATTTTCATTCAGGAAGACAAGTATTAAAATGTCCCTAAATATCCTGAATCTTCAAGCTTCAAGCTTAAGTTTGCTGAAGTTTATGTTTTAAGCCAGCTTCCCGGTGTTTGTTTTTTCAAAGACGAACTCGAGGCAAGAAAATCGCTCAAAGCTTTCTTTTCCGGCTAGAATTATAACTAAAGATTCTTTGGAACATTTTCTTTCTATTTGCGGTGAGAAACTGTCTAAAGGCTTTTTAAAGTACTGTAAGATTATATCAAACCAGATACTCGGTGAGATCGTTGTCTCAAATCTTACAAACGCGCATAAACTAAATTCCCGCATAAACTACGCTCCACTTCATTAAATTAGATACAAAAAACAAACATGAAATACAATAATTTCTCTGGCTTACCATTCGAGATGCAGCTCCTGAAAGTTATCAGGTAAAGCCAGTATCGCTTCAGACTTTGCAATCCTCTTACGCATCAAGCAAGGTGAAAACGAAAACGATGCCATCCGAAATCGGATTTCCGACTTTGACAAGCGACGTTTTCTCAACCAAAAACCCAATAAACAAACTAGCCATGAGTAACAGAAGACTCCTGATAGCAGCTGAATTTCATTTTGTACATCCAGTGGAAAAAGACAGTTAAAAACATCACAAGTTGACACAAAACTCTGTCAGCTTCAGCTGTTAAAGTAAACAAGATTCAAGATGCTGCATAAATTTTGCGCATGAACTCACCTGTCAAATTTTGACCAATCAGAGCATAAAAATTGGACGTAGAGCGTGACCAACGCGTGACCATTGTGAGAAAAAACAAAAAAGCAACTGTCTTCCCTGCCTGTAACAGCTGGCTGAATTTTCACGTCCGAGGTCAGTTTGCAATCAAAATTTTAATTGTGCAGCACATAAACACAACATATTTCATATGAATTAAGAAAAAAAATTGAACTTGAGCCTGCGATCACTTGAAAACTAGTTTACTTGTCAGCGGATAACTTCAAAAATACTTGACCTCGACGGGTCGACACCTGAGCCCGCGATACGGTCAAGTGATACTGGTCAGCGGGTACTCTGTTTTGACAGCTGTCAATTGATCAAAACATTGATGTCCAATATGTGCATTATCAGTTTTCCTGTGCTCCCAAACTAGTAAAAGTATGAGATTGAACGTTGTTCGCGATCTAGTAAAACAGTTAACTGGTCAGCGGACAGCTTCCAAATAAATCACGTCACCTCGATGAGTTGACACATGAGCCCGCGATATGGTCATGGGATACTGGTCAGTGGCTATCCTGTTTGGACAGCTGTCAATTGACCATATTGTTAATGTCCTATATTAAAGATGTGGACTTGCCAAGACACGCCTGAGACACCCCTCCCTTCCTTTTGATAGTCTCCCCTACCCCACCCATACAATCTGTAGACGCGTACGTACGTACGTATGTACGTACGTACGTACGTACGTACGTACGCTCGGTCAATCACGTGACAACCAAACGAAAAGAGGTTGACCATATTCCACGGGTATGGGGCTCTGTCCCACGCGCGCTTCGCGCGCGCGGGAGCCCCGCTAATATTTATTCTGAGACAAGGAATGTTTAGATTGCAAAATCTCCCAAAATCGGTAATGTTTTTAACCCACATAAGAGCTTTCCCGGCCGCCAGCTAAATGCCGCGTCACGCAAAAGCCTGGAAATTCAAGCGTCCTCTCTCGCAAAATGAAGAACCCTTTCGAACCAAACATTTGCTTATGTAAAGGTGTTTAGGTACTGTAATACCTCGTGAAAGTAGAAACTCAGAAGAATCGATAGTTTCTTGGTTTGATTTTTGGTGACGTCACGTGCAACCCAAGAATTATTAGATAAAGGAACCCTTGTATGTAACTCATCTTCTACAGTGTATTACTCCTTAACAGAAAATGTCCGTCTCTCCTGCACACATTTGTTGTTGATACACTACTCAACTTTCCATTGCAATTCAACATACCGGCAATTCTTTCGTACACCAACACATCCCGCGTACACGCCTTCGGGAGTCTTCTTGTTTGACAGCCCGCCTTGAGCCTGCGATAAGGCAAGCGCGGAAGCTTGCGCAGAACGTCTTTCCGTCCTAACCTGACACATCCCTAATATGAAGTACCTGGCTGACGTAACAAAACCCCCGAAAACGTAGTATGTGGTTGAAGGCATGTAGTTTCTTTTACTTTATTCGGGTGTGTATTTGACGGTTTAACAGTGTTGTTGATGTAAGAATGACAGCAAGATTCGATGATCGTTTAAGGACGTCCTCGACGGAAAGTTGCGACCCTTTAGAGTCTGAACAGAAAGAAAAAAAAGGGAAGGACGAGGTAACCAGCCGTTTATTCTTATGATTAAGAAACTAAAGCTTTCTTGCAGTATTATCTCTTTTAAAGCACTTTGAAGGGTAATTTGAATTCGGGTCCGATTGGTGTTTTTTTTCGTTACTTTTACTTCGAGGTCTGGGAGTCGAAACGAAAACTGTCAATCCAAGGGCCGGAGGAGGAAGACACAAATTCCCCTAAAAAGTTATTTAAACCGCTGAATCAGCAAACTCGCCTAGCAGCAAACTCACAGCTGTTGTCACCAGAATGTCTACCACATCCCCAGGTAAGGATTACTTTAGTTACGACCCTGCCTTATGAGGGAAAGCGAGAGCGAGCGCATGAAGATGAAGACAGTAAGACAAACATCGTCTGACAAATTGTTTCCAATTAAATTATGTTCTTGAATTCAACCAGGAAATGTTGCTGGCGCAAAATTTATTGGTCGGTCATTTGTTTCAAAGTTATGACACGATATACGTGCGTTTGTTTGCCACGTATACTTGCGTTCTCTCCTGCTTTGTGCGGTTTTTATTTCCAAGTATATGACCATTTTCTTACAAACGCGCATATATACATGCGGTACAAACAAACATGTGTATATGGGGTCACATGCAGGTCGTCGTATAAGAGGCATCGAAATTATACTGTTGGCAATAAACCACTTCATGTACGATGGAGCTGAGAAGTAACTTCAGTTTGAATCAAGCATGGCCGCAATGGCGGTATTAATTTCAAGTAAGGTTTGGCTCTTATTCATTGCCTTCGCAGTAATGGTGGTTGTTGGTCCCCCGACAATGGATTTGTTGGAATCCGTGGATTGTCTCTTGAGAGACTGTGAATGTTACTTCCCAAATGCTGACCGAAACATGGCAGAAAACTTAATTGTACGACTCCAGGTTACAATGGATTCAGTCTGTGGATTGCTCGACTCCTTGGATCAAGGTGAGGCAGGAAATACTGGGAGAATTCTGGTTCTTGAAAGCCTGGTAGTACAGCTACAGACCTTATTAAGCAGGTGGGAGATGCTAGCAATTGTAAACTGTAGCTGCATCGTGCACGTCTATTTGCCCTATCCAAGGATTGCCAACAGTTTCTCCTAGAAGTCGAGGAGTCGGCCGACCTCGGTATGAAATTTCTTTTCCGCGGCTGGAGTTTCTCCGGAATACAATGCGATTTACCTGGTCACAAATAACGGAATGTTATTGGTTTCTAGAACCACTCTTTGGCGTAGAGTTCAGAATCTTGAGTCATCCACTAACCGTTATACCACCATCTCAGATGCAGAATTAGATGAATTAATCCCCGTAGATAAGGAAAGGCTTTCCAAATTAGGGAATCAGCATGATGCGGGGACACCTGCACAGCAGAAATGTTTTTGTCCAACTTAAGTGTGTTAGGTGAAGTTTGGTTCGAATTGATCCTTTCGGTCGGTCTTTGAGATGGTTTAACACAATCGGAAGGTGTGTTTACAGTGTGGGGGGACCTAATTCTCTTTGGCACATTGATGGACTGCATTGCTTCATCCGTTGAAGGTTTGTGATACATGGGGGATTGACGGTTTTTCAAGGCTCATAGTATATTTAAGTTGTTCAACAAACAATCTTGCTGCAACAGTGCATGCACTTTTTGTAGCAGCAGTAGAAAGAAATGGGTGGCCTTCTAGGGTACGATGACACAAAGGGGGTGAAAATGTAGATGTTGCAGCATCTATGCTGAGACACAGGGAAGGTGAATAGGGAAAGCATAATCGCCGGGCTCTCTGTACATAATCAACGTATTGAGCAACTCTGAAGAGATATCTTCTTTGTTGGCGTTGGTCATTTATTTTATACTCTTTTCTATTACATGGAACAAAATGGTATACTTGAGTCGACAAACATCATTGATCTGTTCTTTTTGCATTACATTTTTTGCCCAAGAATTAACCATCAAATGAGTCTCTTTGTTGAAGCATGGAACCATCGTCCTCCACGTACAGAAAGAAGTTGGACTCCCCAACAAAATGGGTGAATGGTATGATTTTACAAGATAATGCTGAAAATACTGCAGTTGGGGATATATTCGAGGAAGACAAGCAAGTTTCCGACTTATATGGAGAAGACCCACGAGGTCCTCCACCTAATGAGTTTGACTTGGGTAGTGTTGAGGTACCAGGTACAACTCTTCCTGTAAATGGCTCTCAACTTGAGGCCATTTCACATATACAGCCTCTTTCAGAGAGTAATGACTATGGAGTCTGCAGTCTCTACCTAGAAACTCGGGAAATTATTCAGGCACTCATAAGCACAGAACCATGACAAAGGAGCTAAAACTCAGTTGCATTTGACATGAAGGGATGTTGATGTTAATGTTAACACAGCGTTTCGATGCACCATGACATCATTATGAAGTGACAAAGATAAAACTAAAACTGACGTGATATACAGGTATATGGTTTAAACTGACAAAATAAAGAACAAAAGTAACATGTTTGCACGTGTACTGTGAAAATATGTTAATGATTTCATGGCGACATCGAAACATCATGTTAAACTTTTTTCACATATCTCAGTTTGTTGTTAAGGTGTTAACATTATGCATTTCTTGACCCTTGAGGTGATGTAATTCATGGCAGCTAAGTATCTAGTGTGTATTAACAAAGATGTCACTCAAAGAACACTGAATAGTAACTTTTATTTTTAAATTATAAACTCTCTTACTCTCTTTGTTATGAAGTACATGTATTAGATTAACATAGTTACGCTGCCAGTCACGTTCTTCTGGCTATATTCAATAGAGTCCATGCATTTCAACATATTAAATTGCTCAGTTTCACTAAAACATCATCAAAGCTGTTAAACTTGTTCTGAGAGATGTGTTATATTGCATCATCAATAACCAAAACTGGAACCGGTTATTTTTTAAGAAAGGGAAATGCTAATAAGTCATTAATGGTCTACTGTAAAAACCTGTTTCCTCAAAACTTTTGTATGGAAAAACCCTTTGAACTCAACAAAAATTCACATTCAAATTCTCTAACATCTATTCTCTAATTCATCCTCTTCCATATCCAACAAACTGGCAATTTATGCAGCTGTTAATTGCCTATTTGAAAGAACTGTAATTCTCATAGTCACAGGGCAAATGCAGAATCCCAAAACATGAATCTGCATCTGGAAAGTGTGACCCTCGGAAACTAAATTTAAGTTTGGTACCCTTTGGGAGGAATGGATCACTAAAAACAAACTAAATGAGATTCTTCAGTGTTGGTAAACCTGACAGCTCAGAGGTTGTTTCAGTGACTGTGCTATTGACAGTGTCTGTCTGTTTCTCTGAAATGAAAAAAAAAATGGCCTCATTGATTTTCTTTCCTTTAACAAAACACATCTTCAATTTATAAACTTAAAGAGGGGACAAATACTGTAACTGCGACAATGTTGGTTTGGACACTTGTACACAATGTTTAAATCCTTCACGTCAATCATTTTACATTGTAGGCACATCATAAGTTCATTTTCCTTTCAAATATAGGAACTGACTAATACAACATGAGAGTACAATTGGCTACAGCAGTTACACTGAAAAGTGAGAGGGAGGACACGACTGGTTCAGTGCGTGCATTGAAAAATGCTTTTATTCATGTTGTTCTAAAATGCAAACTGAAAATGAACTGATCAGTGATTTATGAAATCAATATTATATATGTATGCTCAAGTGAATTTTGCTTAAGACGACAAACAGTTCTGAAGGGATCTCTCTATAATAGCAGTGAACATTACATGCAGAAGACGCCACTGTACATGTAGCAAAATGAAGCACTTTGCTTCTTTTGGGCATTTGATTTTTAACCCCATTATGAAATGTCAAAAAAAAAACTTCAACATTCTCTCACTAGAAAGCCTAGTTCCCCAGATGATAACCTGTAAGGATAAATTAACAATGACATATACTTTTAGCAACTACATGTACTACTCACTGCACTCTGTAAGTTCATCAGTTTAAGTAAGGAACCATTCAACCACTTGAATTTCATGTACAGTCAAAGTTGTTTCATCAGCTACTGTGAAGCTTTCCTGTACGTCTTTGGTTGTGTATGATATATCACTAGTGAATGGGAACACCATAAGAATACAGCTTTCATTTATAAGGAGAAATTCTGTCAAGTTTACAGAATCCAATCCAGTGCGGATAGCATTAATTTCGTCACGTCGCAACTTAAATACTTGGTGCTCTTCAATGTGAGATATTCATTCGCAAACCCTGCTTGAGCCATCAAGAATTGGATATCATCCCTTTCTTGAAGCACTCGAAGGGTGTCATCATCTGAGGCATTCTCAATCTATATATCATTGGAAGCAAACAATATTTATACAAGGTTGTTTTGGCTTCTTCATAAACGAGACATTTTGTTATGGCCAGGCTTGATAGGAGTTAATGTTTAGGCATCAACATAAATTTTTAATTATTACATCAACAGACTGTCATGCAATAACTTTAAATTTTTCAAGGTTACATGTATACCTCCCAATGTTGCAAGTTATTCTTAGGAAAATTCCACTCTTGTACCTCCCCACCACCCTTGTTGTGCTAGCAACTAACTGACAAAACCCAAGGGATTTTACAAGTGGCAGGGGTATTGAGAATTGTTGGGTATCATCACGAGGGACAGACAGGCTAAATAAAATTAGAAAATTAATTCAATTTTGTGATGTAATTATGAACAAAGTTTTGATTGACAAGACTTTACCTCCTGTAAACACATTCGAACAGTCAAGTCAGGTATATCAGAAATGGTCAGCTCTGTTAAAGAAGATGTTATATCCCCAGTGACCAAATAACAAGAGAAAGCTCTGGACAATCCCACCAATCCACTTCCTCCTTGAACAACTGTCAAAGCAAAAACTTTCCCAACATAGGCGAAATAGCCACTCTGCAAGTATTCCTCTTTGTGAACTGGCAGCAGGTGATCTTTGTCTCCTGTTAATAAAATTTATGGTAGTTATTTAGTCTTGGTCTAAATAATTTGTGAAGTTCAGATTATTTCTACAATGATTCCTGTTAACTGTACAAATACTACTGTGCACCTTATGTGCGTAAGGTCGACAGGATATTAAACAATTATTGGATGAGTTGACCATGATATCACGAATTATCAAAACCGAGGTCTGTGTTATCTGCCGAAGCCGAATGATATCATGCGAAAACCGAATTCAATAATTGTTTTATTGTACATGACAGAAATTTTTTTATTTGCTTGATAGAATCTATACAGTGTTTTGATAAGGAAAGCAAAAAAAATTTTTCGATAGCGATTTTTCTTCCCCGTGTTTTAACCTGCCAAAAACGTGAAATTTTACTTCCGGTGAACTACAAAACCGCGGTAGCGAAAACAGAAGACTGGGAATGATTATGACGTCATTTCAGGACATTCTATTTCGCGGCAGGCAATTTACCTGGTCATTTTCTTATTTGTGTGGCAGTGTTTGGAGAATGTTTTTTGAGTTTCCCTGACCTTTTTTGATCAGAAACAGTAGAAATCAATAAAAAGTCGCTTAAGCTCGAATTTAATTGACTGTGAAAAAGAATAATGAGTTTTGAAAGCGATACGGAAAAGTCAGACGTGGAATCGATCGGGTCGCGCACTCACATCTGCGAGACAGAGCTAGGATCAGACGAAGATGAAGAAGATATGTACTATCCAGATCCAGAAGGACCGTATATAGATGAACTTATTACAGACGAGGAATGGCTAAACAGAATACAACCGAGAACTAGAAGAAATTTAAAGGAGAAACCAGGAGTTACAAAACCGCTTTGACAGGATTGTGGAACCGAGACTTGGTAAGTGTTCGCTCTATTTCTCACCTTTTAGTTATTAGCCTGAAAAATCTTATCGTACTAAGATCACACCTTGCCGATAAAAAGAAAAGGATAAAAGTTGTATTCTTCAACTTAAATACTATGGTCCTTCTTTTTAATTTCAAAGGTGCTCATGTGGCAATTGTGCTCTTGATCGGCTGCAAAATCCCGTGGAATGCCTCTGCTGCAAGGAAATCGAAAAGTGTGTCGAATCACTTGGTAGTACCGCCGTTCTGAATGAGGTGGAAATCAGTCCCGAATGTATTACATTGCATCCAGGTTTCAGTGTCGTTTGCCTTAACAGATGGTCTCTCCGATCAGCCGCAAGTAAATACAAAAGGATACCGGTAGACGGTACAAAGTATCGTCAGACTGATACAGAAGAAAAGTGAGTAATGTTTTGCCCAGTTTTTTCTGTCAGAGCTATCTCTAATTGCTAATTTACTGTGTTCTCCAAAAGCAACGTTAGCCGGCAAAAGCGCCCGACAGTTGCAACAGAAGCAGTGGTTATTTGTTCAAACACCATTTTAAGAGAAAGATAATCAATCGATTGTTTTTGTTGCCCATTATTTTGTATAATAGAGAGTTTTTTCCTGACCCATGAAAGACAATAGAATTAATGCATGATAGCGTGTTCCATTCTACTACCTGTTTAATCGGTTGAGTAGAATCACTATATTACAAAAAACATATGATAAAGAATAAAGCAAAATGTACTTTGCAGAACCCCTAAAATCAAACTTTTCTCTGGACTTGGGTGTGTGTGTGTGTATGTGGAAGAGGGGAAGCGGGGGTTGCTAGCCACACCAAACCCCACACAAAGCATTTTGATCTCATCTTTTGCTGACTACTTTCATCTTTTCTTACTCTGCTCTACTCTTCAATTCTTGTCCTATTTTCAACTATATTCCACAGTTGATTTGATAATGTTCAGTTCATAAGATGTTAAAAGAAATAGGGATTTTAGAGACACAAAGGAAGGGCACGATTGGAATAGAAATGCATCTGCCACTGGTCATGTGGTAATACTGGGCTCACAGAGTTGAAATAAAGGGCGAGGTCATGACTTGAATATTTATTTTTATGTCTGCATTCTTTTACACAGGTTTCTTCGTGGAGTAGCCTACAGAGAGTTTACGCAACTAGTACATAGTTTTCTTGGGGGAAAGCGGATTCCACTGCCAGCAATAAGAACAGAACTTTCAGAAGAGAATGAAGAATTTGTTGGTTTTGAAGATAATGAATAAAGATATTGCCTTTATGACCATCATTATTTTAAAATGCAAATAGCAAAACAGAGTCCATTAACAAATTTTATACTAGTTTGGACTAATATTGACTCAAAACATCAGCTGATTGCACAGAAACTATCTGTATCTTAGTTATCTACAGTCCCAGGGGGGGTACTCGGGAATTCAAGTGACGGGGATGATCGAATGGAGCCAAAAGTCAAGACCCAAAAAAATCCCTAGGGCTTCCAGCAAAACCCAAAAAAATCCGTGGACCAAAAATTAACCCCCAAAAAATCCCTTGCCGGGCACACAGGACAATGCAGACTATTGTATAACACGTGCGATGTAAAGCGACACCATAGTTAACTATTAAACAACAGCAAAACACGTTTGTTTGAACTTTATTCACAGAACTACGCAGCCAGGGCACTACCGATTCTTTTTAATACCCCCAAAAAATCCCTACTCAAATCAAGCTACCCAAGCCAAATTTTCGTAACCAAAAAAATCCTGGAATCAAAAATTTCAAACCCAAAAAAATCCTTCGACCATCCCCGTCACTTGAAATCCCGAGTACCCCCCCCCCCCTTGGGTCTACAGTGCGAGGGTGACTTGATATAATGGTGATGAAAATCTCTCCCAGTTTGTATTAAGCAATTACCAGGCAACTTATTGACTTTGCCTCAAAATAAAAAATAAAAAGGTCTGCTATCACTGTCCACTGTTTTGTCGTGCCTGGTTCCTTGGACAATCAACTAGAAGGTTGTGCCCTCTCATGGGTCTTTTGCAAACAGTGCAATTCCCTGTTCTTCCTCCACTTGATGACTGTGCTGTAGCTGCAGCTGCCTCTTGGGCAAAAACAACAGATACTGCAAGCAAAATAGGAAAAATATATTTAGTCCACCTTGATTGCTGATAAAATGATAATAATATGTAACAATAACAGTAATAATAATAATAATAATAATAATGGGAACTTTATTTGTTTTTTTGAATGTATAATTGTAAATCTCGCTACGTATAGGCAATTTACAAATACTGCTTGAGATTGGATAATTAAAAAGAAAAAAAAAAAAAAAAACAAAAAAAAACAAAAAAAAAAAAAAAAAAAAGAAATCAAAATTGCATTAAGTCTGGGCTATCCCAGTTCCTATTTCTACAACAAAAGATGTAATATGTTGCTTTAATGGCTATATTTATCATTTTCTTGATTATAACAATAATATTGATAACAATAAAAATCCCTAGATGTCCAAAAAAAAAAAAAGATTTTCCCAAAGAAAAAAAAAGTGACTTGAGAGGGGCAGAAGGCTCAGCTAGCCTCAGATAGGGCTGTGTTCTAACAGCACATGGTGACCCCTAGCACATAACTTCTGCTCTACGGCGACAAGAAAATCTTAGAGATTATAATATTATGCTAGGCATCCTTGATTTCACAGGTTCAGGGCACTGGGCTCCCTTCAATTTGTCTTAGAACACAGCCATGATTATGGATTTTGCAGCCGATCAAGAGCACAATTGCCACATGGGCACCTTTGAAATTAAAAGAAGGAACGTAGTATTTAAGTTGAAGAATACGACTTTTATCCTTTCCTTGTATCAGCAAGGTATGATCTTAGTACGATAAGATTTTTCAGGCTAATAATTAAAAGGTGAGAAATAGAGCGAACACTTACCAAGTCTCGGGTTCGACAATCCTGTCAAAGCGGTTTTGTAACTCCTGGTTTCTCCTTTAAATTTCTTCTAGTTCTCGGTTGTATTCTGTTTAGTCATTCCTCGTCTGCAATAGGTTCATCTATATACGGTCCTTCTGGATCTGAATAGTACATATCTTCTTCATCTTCGTCTGATCCTAGCTCTGTCTCGCAGATGTGAGTGCGCGACCCGATCGATTCCACGTCTGACTGTTCCGTACCGCTTTCAAAACTCATTATTCTTTTTCACAGTCAGTTAAATTCGAGCTTAAGCGACTTTTTATTGATTTCTACTGTTTCTGATCACAAAAGGTCAGGGAAACTCAAAACACATTCCCCAAACACTGCCACACAAATAAGAAAATGACCAGGTAATTAGCCTGCCGCGAAATAGAATGTCCTGAAATGACGTCATAATCATTCCCAGTCTTCTGTTTTCGCTACCGCGGTTTTGTAGCTCACCGGAAGTAAAATTTCACGTTTTTGGCAGGTTAAAACACGGGGAAGAAAAATCGCTATCGAAAAATTTTTTTTGCTTTCCTTATCAAAATACTGTATAGATTCTATCAAGCAAATAAAAAAATTTCTGTCATATACACTTTAAACAATAGGCAAAAGAAGACATTCAGCCATTCTGTTTCTGAGGAGAACACTCCAAGGGGCTTGGTAACCAGGCAGACGTTGAACTTGACATGATAAATGCAATATCTGCAGCAGATATTGCATTTATCATGTCAAGTTCACAAGCTTTTGTGAATTGATTGAATGCTCTCGACCAATCAGATTTTTCATAGTGAGTCTGATGTATAATAAAAGACCTTATTGTAATTGAATACTGAATGTCAGGTGGAGAATTGCAGTATGATTATTAATTAGGCAGAAAAAAAACATTCTTGGACTACAGTTTACATGGGATAATTTGTCTTGGGAGTTCCAGTTTCAGGATTTTTCTTCTGAACAGGTCCATTGCAGTTAGAGGGTCCTTCTTAACAATGCTGAGTAGAAAGGCATCACCTTCATTTTCTGAAAAATTATAAAAGATTGAGGTTAACATTGCATTCCAAAACAACAACTTACAGGCACTTTGCAACTATAATGTGTGCTTCAAGTACTCTCTACTTAGTATTTACAGGGGGTATTCAAAAGGGCATCTGTGACAAAACAAAATATCTAAAATATTATGTACTCTAGATGTGTTATCAATAATTTTCACATATATCATGTAGTAATGTCAGAATTTGTAATATCTTAAATCCAGGGACATTGTCAACATTGGGCTCTCAGAGCTTCCACTACTTTTGTTGAGGGGTCATTTAATCACCCTTGCCCAGTAAAGAAATATTGTAGAAAATATGAAATTTTGTAAAATACGTCTTTCATTCAAGATGTCTTCAGCATATGAGCAATCCAGGATTCGATTTGTTGCTTCTTCAAGGCTTGCTGAAGACTTCTCAAATTCATTAATAATTCATAAAGAAAATTCAAAGGAAATTAATGTTAATAATGAGTGTTTGGATATCAGATGAAAAACTGCTCATTTTTGCATCCTTCAAAAATGATTTTGTTTGAGAAGAAATATCAAACATTCGACACAGTGTTTCATCACCAGATGAAACACCTCGAAGTTCGCCAAACGTACTCCGCTGCGCGTCGTATTTCAACTCTTTTCTCGGTGTTTCATCTGGTGATGAAACACTGCGTCTCATATTTGATATATTACTTCAAAATTTCTGCCACATCCACATCATTTACACCTCGAAACATTTCTTTAAGGGTTATTTCCTGTTTACTTTGCTCAGATTTACATATATGGAAAGGTAACAATTTTGGGGAAACTATATATCAAGGTACTTGCCTCCATGTAACTGGGTCCAGGCCCATCAACATCTAAAAGCAAATAAAAAAATAACAGACCATGGTGAATGAGAAGATAACATTTATCTCTAAGAAGTAGCCAGATTGACTAACATACAAAAAAAATAATAATTGATACCACTAAAATTAACAGCCACCAAGTGTAGTTTTTCAATCAAAATGCAACTGACTGAAAATCATCATATTTGTTTTATATGCATCATCCCACTTGCTGTTTTCTCAAACACTAAGAGGTAGTGTAGCTTAGCCTTACCTAAAAAGAGCCCAAGTACAACCAGTTTCCAAATGGTTGTGACATTTGTTAAAAAACTACCTTAGAGGGATTCAAAGTTGTCATTGCAAGTGTCAGAGGAAAAGAGAATTTCACTCCGGTACGAAATTCCGCAACGGTATCATGTAAACGCGAAACGACCGCAAGTTTCGGTGTGAAATCGTGCTGGTAGTCTGGAACGGGTAGCACATGCGTAATGTTTGCGATTTTGAATCTTACGTGTATTTTATCAACATGAAGTGTACCTATGAAATGACCCACGAGTGATAATGTAAACACGATACGAAATAAAAAAGTCATCCCGGTATGAAACTCGCGCCGGAGCGAGTTTTCTCATGTAAACACCCCCAAAGAAACAGTTCTTCGGAGTAACATCACTTGGCCTGAAATGGGAAAACAAAAGATGCAAGCTAGAAAGGTCTATTTATTTCATATTGTCGATTAATAACTGTTTTCATTTATTCTTCTTTTATTTTAAATTATTATTTGATCAGTTTTTTCCTGCTTAATTTGAATTATTAGAAGTAAAATTTTATTAGTCTAGAATTATTAGAGTCAATAATTACATACCCTAAATTAATTTAATATTGTTGATTGATAATTGTATCTCTTAACCTTGTTACCTATATTTAGCTTATTCATGTCATTTATGTATTTTAAATAACTTTTAATTGGCTGTTATATTTTCCACCGTTTGTAAGTGGTTAGCTTGAATGTAATTAATAAGCCCCATGGTTTTCTACTCAGGCTACCCTGCCACCAGAAATTTGTAATTTTTTTCTTGGTGGTAATCTGATAAAATAAGTAAATAAAATAAATTCACTTTTTTGTACTTACTTACTGTAGTGTAGCATTGTATTGTTGGTAGCACTGTGTATATTGGACTTAGTAGTCAAATAATAACGCGAGTGCGCTCTTATGTCATGCAATGCAAAAGCAAAAATTGCGAACAGGGATTTAAAAAATCAGCTGGATACACTATTAATTATCACTTACAATGTATGTGAGGGTTAGTTTTGGTGTTGAAAGGAAAACAAATCTGTTTCAAGGGCAGTCCTCGATGCTTATCTAGAGAATTGATCATATCCTCGGATCTTCATGATGACTGTCCAGCATTCATTGAAATGTGAGACTATAGAAAAAGTCTGGATTATCAAGAAGTTCCATTTATTATA